TCACAATAAATGTGCATAGATCACGTAGACCAAACTTATTTAAATTTATATAACTTAGTAAATGATTATTCTCGTGGATTGTTACAAATAAGATTGGATCAAATTTTAAATAGATTAGACCAAATTGAATGATAACAAATTAAAGTGTTCATACTATTAATGACTAAACCACACTAGATTTAGAAAAAAACATAATGTGTATCAGCGTACAAAAATAATATAGTACATCTCAAAAGAATACATTTCACTCACTCCTTTATCATTTGTTGCTCACTAGCCATGAAAATTAATTAAGATATATAAACTAATGTGGATCATTGTACATTCAAGCTCAAATGATAAGCGATACACATGATGCTTAGAATGATGAAATAAATGAGTTAGCAGTTTGTGTAATATCACGTGGATCAAGTTACGATGTAGGTCACACTCACAGAACATGCTCAGTCCAACCCAATCAACTTAATAAGAGGAGAGACGCTTTTAAAGAGAATAATGCATACGATAATATATTATACACGACCAGAACTTGTGACAATTCTCAAAACACGTTCAAATGTGATTGTTTCTCAAAATATGATCAAACACTCATGGAACAAAACAAGAAAGAAAAAACTCCAGATCATATACATACATCTCATATGCAACCATATTAGGAAAAAAGTTACAAGTCATGTTTTGTGAAACACATACACTTTTAGTCATATGGGATGTAATTTGTCTCTCATGATATACTAAATGTTTTGTCTTAAGTCCTTCCCCCGGCCAACCGACACTAAAGTTTGTCAATCAACTCATAGCCCAGACTCCCAGACTTTACAATGTAGCTCAAACATATAAAGGTCCACTCCTAAACCACAACACAATTATAATAGTTTAGGGGTTTAGACACATATAAATCATCACAAGTTTTCCAATTCCATGGCGGATGCACTCTCAATGACAAATGACGAGTACTGGACATATGGCTTCCTACCTACTGCTCCATCAAGTTTTCTTCTTAAATTTTATTGTTCTCAATTTCAAAAAACAAGTGGATGTCTTATTAAATTTGTGAAGGAAAATATGGAGGAAAAATTTTACTCAATGAAAAAGGTGATATCCCACAGTGTGTGGTGAGGACTGAGGACCATAGTGATGACACATAACCTTTGGAGTATCTCCGATTTGAATTTGTATAATTAACTTGTTCTACAACAACTATTTACTCCCTTCGTCCCGAAATAATTGTCTTGTTTGCTTTAGCACAAGGTTTAAGAAAGTGATTGAAAAGGTAAAAATTGTGGTTGATATTTGAGTAGAAAAAGGTGAATTGATATGAGCCACGTATTGTTGCCAAAAGAGGAAACAAGACAGTTCTTTTGGAACATCCCAGAAAGGAAAACAAGACAATTATTTCGGGATGGAGGTAGTATGTGATTAATTTGATACATTTAGGCTTATAGTTGGGGCATGGGGGAATATAATATTTAGCTAACCCTCATAGTAGTCTTTGAGTTAAATATGTTTTGTACCAGTAATATTGGACGAGTGACTGACTGAAATGTTATTTTTATAACAATGTTTGTCATTCACAATCAAATCACATACTTCACATGTTACCATATGTTATCAGATCAAACATCGGTAAAGAGGACTCACATTTGTAAAATAAAAGACCGCATCCTTATTAATTCATGGTTATAAAATGTCCAAACACAACTTGTGCTCTGTTATTATTGTTGTTGGTCTTAATTAAATAGTGAAACGGTCTAGAGGGCGGGGGTGAAAAGACTGTTCTGGTTTTATAATCTTCTCGCGAGACAGAGATCTGCCTCACAGAATTGGTCTTGTTCTTAACAGAATAACCTGCAGCGTATGGTAGTTCTGGTCGGGTTGCCTCACAAAAACACTCTAAGGCAGAAATGCCTTTTTGTTATCTCTAAGACTGAGATCTGCTGACCACAAAGACCAAGAAGCTCTTTAGAGGAAAAACAGTTAAGAACTAGATGCAAGAAGTAAGAGCAGTAAGCAAATGACATCAGAATTTTTATAGTGGTTCAAGGAACAACGCGTTCCTCTAGTACATTATTCCACTAAGCTTGTAAAAATTCATTACAACACTTAGAACCTAGCATTGAAGAAGCTCTCCACGTCTTCTTCAAGTCTAGTCCTTTGTCACCCGGGATGCACTTTCTTGCTTCCTGATGACTGGCTTGTTCACTGAGCTTCCTTGAAGTATTCCCACTACACTCTAGTTACTTTGGCATCCTTCTTTAGCAAGAAATAGCTTTGAATGAGTTCAAAGATTTTCCTCCAACGTACTTCGTATAAGATATGTAGATGAGGATTTCAAAGTGGTTGAAGAACTAGGACGAACTTTTGTTGAGAAATGGATGTAGGATTTGAAATATTGTCTTCCAAGCTCTCGTATGAAATTCTTGCGTTGAGTGTGCAGTTTTTGCTCTCAAGAATATTCTAGGTTAAATTCCAAGTTCGTAGCCGTCATGTTCTTTAAAGTGCATCTTATATACTGGTAGAGGTCTTCCCGTTGGAGTGTAGAAGACATTTTCATTAAATGTGTGTGATGTAGACTTGACTGGTCAATTCCCACATTCTTGTCAACTTACTATTTCGGGAGGTATTAAATATTATTCTCCCGGATTCTCTGGTCAATCATGCGCCTTTAATATCTTAACGGGTGGGTTGCATTAAATGAGCATTTAATGCGTTGCACAGTACTTCTTCCGTTGAAAGGCTCCTATTCGTTAGAGTATGTCTCGTTAGTTTAACGGATATCTCAAAGGGTTTCTCATCAAGTCTGTTGAGGGAGCACTTCTGGTGCACTTCCGTTGTAGTAGCTCAGCTAGCGATTTTGTTAGGGAGCAGTTCTGTCTGGACTTGAGAGTTCCCAACACAAAGTCAAGGTCAATTTTGTCCTATGGGAGGCAGAACACCTCAGTTCTGTCAGTCGATTATTCTAATACTTACAACAAAATTTCTACTACAATTAGTCTACAGGGGTACTCCAAATTCATAACTTTTGCAGCATCATCAAAATCTAATAACAATTTATTCCCTTTAATTATCTCTAGAGACATTTGCACCAAAAAATTCATGCATTGTAGAGAATATTATAAGAGAGACATGATATGCTTTCTTTTTACAAAGAAACAGCATAAACTAACTTGTTACCTCTTTTTTGTTTCAACAATTCAATTTTAACATTAATATATCAATGTATTCAATCATATATCTATTTTAAAAAGTTAATTTTTGGCAATGTGTGTTGTTTCTTAGTTAAACTTATTTTATAATATAGAAACATATGTCAATGTAATTGGATAAAAATATAATTGGTTTTAGCTTTAATATAACAAAAACATGGCCAATGCACCAGATTTAATGTATAAAACTAGTTAGAATATTATACTTTTTAAGAAAAAAGAATTATCTTATATATGTAAGTGCATTACATAAGACAAAACATTAATCTCATGTTGCTTTTCTTGATAGGCCAAAAAGTATTGTCAATTATTTGGACTGATGGATCAGAGTTATATTGTTTATACTTACTCTATGTATGAAAATGTAATATAATCTACGTAGCTAGTTCTGTTTTGGGGAAAAGATGATAATGATGATGATGATGATGATTATGATCAGTTTTTTCTTTATCGCAATTAAGAAGAAAGAGGCAGAATGAATTGTTTAGCCTATATGTATGGCTTATAAACACAAGACTTTAAAATAAATACATGTGAAGGTTTGATCTGCGAGATATTGGTCGATTCCCACACAATTACGAGTCCATACCTCAGTTATATCAATCCAAATATTATTTAAAATAACATGATCTCATAATGGTTTACACAAAATAATTAATCGTTTCACATTTGAGTTGACCTATCCAAGACTTGAATTAAATAAATTAAAATGATAAACATAAAATTAAGTTCAAACAATAGACTAGTTAATATTACAATCAAATATTGAATTGGTTAAACCGAATTATTAGTAGTTATTGGAGGTTTCTCCAAAACGAACATAGTTCTCAAAAATACTAGGTTATCGTCAATTTGTCATAAAAGATTAAGTAAACAACTTTAATTTTATAGTCCCAAATAGAAACACTAAAGATAGATATGTTTGATTGAATATAATCTTTGTGCTTCTTATCAGTTGAATGGAAACAAGGTGAAGATGATAAAATGTGAAAGATCAAGGAACTCACTTAAGCTAAACGTTGATGCGTCCTTCAAGCCAAGCAGATCAACGGGCAGTGCAGTGCTGCGAGACAAAGAAGGGAGGATGATCTCTAGGTTGAGATTCCTTCTTCAAGCTAGCTTAGCTTTGGAGGCAGAACTTCAGGCGGCTTAGATAACTTTACGTTGGGCTCTGAACAATGGATTGGTCGGTTTTGAAATGGAGACAGACTGTTCGTCTTTAGAGTTGTTGAACGATAGGTTTTATGAGGCAAGATGGAAGTTTGATCTGGAAAGCTTTCGGACAGATCTAATAAATGTTGGGATAAGGCTTCGACGTGTTTTACGGGAAGCAAATGAGACTGCTCATTTAATGGCTCAATGTTTTGTATCTACACACACCTCTCTGGTTTCCTATGTAAATCTTGATAATATCCCACACACGATCAGGAAATCTTTAATCACGGATTTGATGGGTTATCCTTAAAAAATATAATCTTTCCGTGTTATTATGGATTTATGGGTAAGATGCTTTACGATTTAGTTGAATGGCCTCAATCCAACTATGAAATATATATCATGACATATATTACAGAACAAGTTTTGGTACATCTAATTGATATCTCGAAGCACACACTTAACTTTAGTGTGGTATGGTGACCCACATTCTTAATGATTCAATTGATTGATCACAATCCAATTTAATTATGGGTTATATCTAAGTACCTATAAATACACGCACACATATAGTAATGTTCACTTAATGTGAATTCTCTATCAAATTCATTTGCCCAGACTCTAATAATACATTGAGCCTTCACTTATAATGTGAAAAATGTGAACAAAAAGGCCACATATTTCTCATGATTATCATAAGAAAAGGTCATCCAAAATGATAAGAAAAACAAATGAGGGAACAATATGTAGTCATTCAGTTTTCCAAGCATAAAAAACATGGCAGAATTCAGATATCGTGGTTTGTGAATCATCACAATCTTTTGTATCATACATTATTTGACCATTTGAGTGACTATTGACTTCTTCTTCTTCTTCTTCTACTTCATTTTGGTCACCAGTATTACCTTGTTTAAAGATGAATATACCTGGTCCAGCTGCATTAATGGTGCCATCACTAAACACCCAATCATGAACATCCCAGAATACATCTACAGGCACATCATCAATCATCACTATCTCATTCCCCCGAAATCTCCAATTTAGATTCACCACACGAATTGAATCCATCCCATCCACAGTAATCCACATTTCGGGATCACCCTCTGAGAGATTTGTTTCTATGATGATGTTGTGCTCCCTTTTTCCCTTCCCCAGCATTGTTCTAGTGCAAAAGCATCTCTTCGCGTACACGCTCTCTTTCTTGTGCACCAAAGTTGCGTCAACTAAAGAAGGCCTCGATTTGCTTCTTTTGAAGGCCTCATTCTTTCGGTCACCTAACAATATCACCACCTCTCCTCGAGAGGACAATGCGACATAGTAGTCAGAGACAGGTTCAGGACTGCTACAGAATTTAGCAGCCCTTAAGTCCCAATAAACATCGACACGTACTTCATCTACCTTGAAGGACTTTAGGCCCTTTTTGCCCCAAAATTGCCACGTTTTTAGGTCAATCTTGCATGTGTAGTGGTTGTCTTCAGAAGGGTTTTCGACAATGATGAAGAGTGTATGGTTGATCAATGTTTTTGACCATGTGACTGTGATGGTACGAAATAAGTCTGCAATTTTGGCTAGGTGTATACATGTCACAAAACTTTGTGCAGCTGGTTTAACTGTCCCACTCTCCTCCTCTTCTGCTTCTACCTTTTGATCTCGTTGATTCATGGACGCCGTCAAATATGCCCATGGAAATTTGAGCATTATCATATAATTTCCAACATAATCTCACATGCATTTTTCTCTCTTATTCAAATGTTCAAGCCTAACAGCTCTTTGATATCCTGTATAAACGGAGATATGCGCACACACACACACACATAAAAGAGGTGACATCATTGAAATAGACAAACATGTTATATAAATTCAAAACTTTTTATCAAAAACTTAATAAAGTTTTAATAGAAATGAAATTATTAATGATCAATGTCATTAAAACTCAATGGGGGCAACCAAATGGCCATCGCGCATCTAATTCCCAAGAACCCGTCTTAATGATCTAGTCACCTAGGATTATTTATTTATAGGACAATGTTATAACATATACCGGTTATTATCTTCCTCATACATTGTGCATTGCATATTCAATCTTCTTCACATATTGTTCTTCTAATTACCTTATCTAAGATGTGGCCTTCAAAAACGTAAACAGGAGGATGCGGCATTTCACATCGGAGACTTGATCATGAATCCTTGTGCGCTTTAATGATTTTAATGATCAATTGCATCTTGATTAAACTTACAAAACATATCTATATCAAAGAGATGAACAATTTATGTATACCATATAACTTTCCGCGTTAGGGTTGTTTTAAAAATGATGAACAAGCTAGAATAAAATCTTGGACAATTTACTTGTATGTTATTCAAGGGAAAATATGGATTTTTCATTGTTTTTACATTCAACAACTTTGTGATAATTGAATGTTTGTCCTACACTCACGCGTCTTTTATTTTTTCTAATAACTCTCAAATTTTAAATGAAATAATAACATATATAGTATATATTATATAACGGGCTTTCCTTAAATTTGATTAAATTATTGAAGCTCATATTAAAAAAAGAATACTTTTACTGTATGCACATGGGCAAAAAAAAGGACTAACAAGGTAATAAATTTGAAAGAATATTGTCACTTTTAGAATTTTATATCACTAACAGATGTCACTATTGTTGTCACAAATTTAACTACACTTTGAAACATGTCACTTTGACTGCCACATAATTTTACGGTGAATTTTTTCCCAAAATAGCTATTTTTCTGGTTGGAGTTTTTGACGGCAACTGGGCAGGTGTGGGTTGGGGGCAGAGATTGACTATAAATTACAATCTGAAAAAATGAATTAATTAAACAAAATGTTAATCATATTTTTAGGAAACAACTAATCGTTTTTTTATATTTAGGGGGTGTTTGGAACTGATTCTGCTTCTACTTCTTTCTTAAAAGCAGATACAGAAGCAGAATCAGTTATTCAGAAGTTGGTCTCCCCCATCTTCTAAAAAAACTGCTTCTAGTAGTAATTTGGAGCACCTAGAAGTACTTCTCCATTTCACCCAAACACTCCAATATATGTTTCTCCTCCTTGAAGGAGCAGAAACGGTTTCAAGGCGCAGATAAAAACACCCTCTTAAAAGGCTACATGTAATATATGTGTCATTTTCCCTTCAAAATATACTAGGCATACAATTTTTACAAGACAATTCATTTACTTTATTTTAAGTCCATCTATCTAATTATTCATAATCTCAATAAATCCGATTCATTCTGATCTCAATTCCACATTCTATAAAAAATTACTAGTATTCCACCCGTGTGTTGCACGGGGTGTAAATTGAAGATATTATCGATGCTAAAATATAAATGTAATTAGATTGTAATTTTTTTTCAAATATTAATAACAAATATATAAGAATTTTAATATTAATTAATGAATAAATAATAACAAATACGAAGCATTAGAATTTTAATAAATACTCCATTATAAATTATTAAACATTTCCTTGTAGACAACACATCTCTAATTTTATTTGTTTATTATCTTTGTTGTTACATATCACGAACTTCAAGTCTGAAGGAATTATCACCTTTGAAAGTACAACAAACAACAGTACATGCGTAAAAATTGGATGTCGCATGAAAACACCCATAATTTCCAACGGTTGCCTCTGACTCATCGATAAGAACCTCTATTTTCGATCAGTTCTTTTTTTATTACATCTCCAAACCAACCAATTCAATGTGTTGTTATAAAAAATAGAAAAAACAATAACTTCTTGCAACAGAGAAGTATATCTCCTTGAATCAACGATAAGATCCTCCAATCCGATTACTTCTTTCTCTTTTATACTTAGTTACATTGTAGAATATCCTTCAATCTTACAAAATTGAGAGTCCTAATATTGAAATTGATGTAAATTAAAAGTAAATTTTGCAGAGGTTTTCTTACAAGTAAGTAATTCTTAAGAACACCTAATCATTCCTTATTTATCATGGTTGACCTTTGAGTTACCGTCATCATTAACTTGTCATTAAGTCTATAAGAAATACACAAATGGAAATCATACATTTCTTACTTTCTTACTTGACCAATAATGTCCAGGTTCTTACATTCTGAATCAAAACAAACCATTACTGCATTCTAAAAAACTCAAAGTAAAAAGCTTCAAATAAATTTATTAAAAACTTGAGGCATTAGAATTAGTCTATTACATAAATGAGATGAATATTATAATCTATAGAAAAAGTGTAAGTCACTACACGATGAAGAACAATGAAGAACAAAATTATAGTACATATGTCGGATTTGAGTAGAAAAGGGGCTTAGAAGAAGTAAAAAAGGTCATGATCGATTAATATAGAACATCCACAATGATAGTAAGGTTGCATAATTGCATAAACAATTCAGTAGTAGAAAATAAAATAAGGGATCTCTTCATAGGACAATCCTTTCCATTTGAAATGACATACCCAAAAGAATGCTACAGTAAATGCCCTATATATAAACAAAAGAAAATGGAAAGAGATATTGTAGCAAAAGATATACCTGATTGAGGATAAGGCATTTCACTTGGTCTTGCCCATACTCAAGAAGAGACTCACACAAGTATCATGGTAGCAAAAGATACCTGATTGAGGAATTTTAACAAACACCTTCCTTACAAAATATTTACAATGTCATTGAAGCATATTAACAAACACCTTGTGTATTATTACAATAAAAAAGTATGAGTCACATTCACTGCACAAAATATTCCAAAGTTGTCTTAGTACATGCTCTATGGAAGTTTTACCTAGAGGTAAGAAAATGGGTTTTCTTATATACGGCAAAAGCTCATCACATGAAAAGGTTTATTGCAAACTTGTGCTAGTGTAAATCGCAAAAAAGTTTAAAACTTGAGCATATAAGTAAATCTTCTATACTTGATGCAAAGGAGGGAAGGTCTTTGATACTCGTGCAGATCTTTAGGAAGCGTGCAAGATGATTTCGGTAGAAGAAAGAAGAATCTGAAATCAATGGATTATATCAAAAATTCGTGTGCGTAGAGTTTTCTAGAGTTCCATCTAACTATCTAAGTAGATTAGGAGAGAAGTTCGAACCTGAAATGAAACGCAGAAACGGAAATGAGGATGAATGGGAAACCGTGGATATCCAATGCAGATGTAAATGGTGTACATAGAAAATGGTTTGGGCGGGATTTTATTTCTAGGTGTGATAGTGCTATTAAGGAGAAGATTTTATAGTTACATTTTTATATAAGTCAATCCATTGTTACATAAGCCCATCGATTTAACAATTGTATTCACAACTTTAATGTGAAGTCCATTTAGATTAGATTTTGATGATGTGTCTCTATTTGACTATGAGCACTTGACGTATAATATTTTGTAGTCTTTACTGCATTCAATTCATAAAAAGAAAAGTACTCAAAAAATGAAAAGATAAAAAAGAAGATTACTCAAAAGAGAAAAGAAAAAGACGTACATAAACAAAAAGAAAGCACACACAAAAGAGGGGCTTTTTCACGAATATTACTAATTTAGAGTCAATTTCCAAAAATATGTCCACTTTTACAAAAGGACAAAATTATGACCAATGAGTCATATATTTGGAAAAACATAGTTCTGCCAGATTTTTATGTCACTCTTATATTTTTATGTCATTGATTTTATGTCACTGCTGGTTTTCATGTCACTTTAATATGTCACTTCCGCCGTCAAATGTGTCATTGTGCCGCCATCAAACGTGTCACTTTACCGTTGTCAAACATGTCACTGTGTCGTTAACCATCTCTGTTCCAACCTCTGGCCACGGTGACATCTCCACCGCCGGTGTCATTGCCGCCGCCGATGTCAACATGTCACGATGTCATTTCCGGAGATTGCCGGAAACGTAAATTTCAACCAAATTTGGCCGCCACACCAACATCACCGTCATTGCCGCCTCCCCGACCCCCATACCCATCCCCTCCCTATCCCACCAGCCCCCTCCCCTGCCCACCAGCCCCCCTCCCCATCCCACCAGCCCCCTCCCCAGCATACCAGGCCCCCTTCCCAGCCTACCAGCCACCTCCCCAGCCCTCACCCCCCAGCAATCTCCGCCCATTCCCTTCCCTAGCCCTACCACAAACCCTTCCATTCTAGCCCCTCCTTCAACATCTCCTCCAAACCAACAATCTCAATTGTAAAACTTCAGCAAACAATTTCAATTGCAGAATTATCTTCCTAATCCCAAATAACAAAAACCAAGCATCTGGAGAGGCGATGTCGAAATTCGTGGCAGCAAAGCAGAGGCGGCGAAGAGATGTGCAGCAGGGCAGCGACGGCGGCGAAGAGATGTGCAGCAGGGCAGCGACGGTGGCGAAGGCGGTGACTTGTGTGTGGGAGCAGGGAAACGACGAAGGTGGTGGTAGCAAGGCATCGACAGAGTCACCGGTGCATCATCCTTGACTGTCGACATGCCAGATCTACAGAATAACCAATTAAGAAGCTCAGCACGGGAGAAGGAGAAAAAAAATTCAATCGATGGTTGTGGACTTGCGGTGGTTGAACGGCGGTGGAATGATTGTGACACTCGAAGGTGGATGTGTGTTGTATGCTGGAATGGTGAAATAGAGATGGGAGACAGTGGTGTGAACATAGATTTGTGAGGATTTCAGCTATAATAGCCATGGCATATACGGTGAAGATTTCAGCTATAATAGCTTCTTGAAATGAGCAAAATCTTCATGGGCTCATACAAAGACAAAAAGGACACATGTCACGTCACATGAAGACAGAAAGAGTCATACCGCTTCACAACCACCAAATGGATTAATCAACGTTCAAGATTGAATCTCCTTAGCCTTAGTCAACGGGAGATATTCAAAAGCTCAAGTCTATAAATACAAAGCAAGTGTGGTGAGTTTAGAGTGTGCAACTAAGAAGGAAAAACGAGCTTATACGACATTTCTAGTAAAGGAGTAAGTGCTAATCTATCCCTCGTCTTCTTAGCTCACCCCACTTCACTAAGCTCTTAGACTAATTTATTCACAAATATATCTTTAGAGCTTAGATTAGTTGGATGTTTAGATTTACCTTGTAAACTAAACTGATTCTAATATCTTGAGGGCTTCATGATCAAATCCAGAGCGTAGAAAAAGAAAGACAAAAGTATCTCTTAACAAGTCAATGCTATTAGTGAAAAACCTTGTAGAGGATATGAATGTGTAATTTGGAGTGATGTTTAAAGTGCTCATGAAAAACCTTAGAATCTATGCATGTGATCAAGGGTAGATTGGACACTAAGTGTATTGGCTGAATAACTTGGTGAAATCCATTTGAAAGAGAGTGGGACTGGATGTAGGAGAATTACACCACCTCTGAACCATGATATATCTTGTGTCCTTATTTTTCGGTTCTATCATCATCATTACTAATACTCATCCTAAACACCCATCAAATCACATCTATCAAAAAGCCTTTATCATGATTAAGTGGACAGGATCAACAAAATAATTAATCAATACAACAATTATACGTAGTATAATGGAGTAAGGTTCGTATCCACAGGGAAATGAATACTTCTCTTTTAATTAAATAGTTGTTGAAAAAATGTGTTAAAAATTGCATTAAATGGTCTTTTTGGGGCAATTATTTGAGTGGGGTCCACTTCCGATTTGGGTCGGGTCAAAGTAGTTTCGGATTGTCCTTGCTAAGGGCTACAATTCGATATATGGTACACTCAAAACGGATAACGGGTGAATGAGAAATTGGTTTTCGAAGTTTACCCGTTGGAATGGAGAAAACTAGGAAAATGTGGGTTTTAGTGTAGGTTCTTTCCCACACCGAAAAACACAAGGGAATTTGAACCCTTTATAAAGGGAACCCCCCCTAAGGAGTTAAGATTCCTAAAGGGAAAGGCTCTCTCACGCGCGCAGGGGAGGAGTGCGAATCAAATCCCGAAACCGAAGAACAAAAACCGCGACTTGCGTGTGCGGGCGACCTGCACACACGAATGCCGTCCGAAAATCAATCTTCTAAAGATAACGTTAATTTTTGTTCTTCCGGTACGTTCCTACATTAATTTTTGCTCCATGCACATAAATGCCCAACGTCTATATGCTGCCATTGATGTCCCAACGTTCATATGAACGTTTTGGGTTGTTTAAGGACTGGAATCGATGCCCAACGTTTAGGACATTGATGTCCAACTATCATAGCCCTTAAACAGCCATTAACACACCTTAATCCACCCCTATAAAAGGCTAGTACGTGCTTTGCAAAGAAACAACCCTTTCATACACTTCGTTCACGTATTTTCATAGCTAAAACAGCACCTCTAGCACTCCATACAAACTCCCTCGGTGTTCTGCTTTTGTTCACGTTCGTTGGAACTTTAGTTTGAGTGCTAAACTATTGTTCGAAGTCATCGTATCCTGGGAAACGATCGTTGCAACGCTCCTAGCACCCCGGGAGGCAACGAATACGTTTTAAGGAAATCGTGCGGAACACGAGCTTTGGCTTATTCTGCTTCATCTCATTTCTTGTTTTTCTTTAAGTCATTTTATTTAATTAATCTTTATTAATTAATTTTCTTTGTTTTTCGAAACACATCCAACAATAGTAACAAGGGGGTTTTTTAGATTGTTTTTGAAACTTTAAGAATATTTAAACACAAAGATGAACGACTTATGTGTTTTAATTAATAGAGATGAAGTCTTGGTTTTGCTTTTATTCACTTAATGAAATGTTCGTCGATCCCGGTTATATCTTTAACTATCTTCCTCTCGAATACTCAATCGAGGAGTATATCCAATTCATCGAGGGTAGTTATTAATAACGAGACGCGTTCATTAATAAAACTTACTACCGAGTCAATATAGAACACGCATCGTATACTAACTCGATAGTAGCAGTAAACTTAAGATGAAAACGATTGAGATTGATAACCTCAACACAAGCGGTTTATTAGTTTAATCAATATAATTAATTCCCCTTAGATTATTAACCATGAGATGCATGCATTAATAATCCAAGTTTACTACCGTTGAAAGAACCGAATTAATAACAAGCGTATTAATCAATTGATTCTAGTAATAATTAATATATGAAACAAAACTAGTTGATCCTTTAAGTAATGCCCAAAATATTAATATGAAATATTAATGTCGAGATGTCAACTAATTGTCATCTTAACAACACTCCCCAACATTAATATAGAGATAGATTAAGGGAAGAATTAATATTCAAGGAAGAAGATTAAAGAAAACAACTCACAACTTACAATTCATTAAGCTTCAAAGTAGCAAAACCAAGATGGAAGAGTTTAGCTCCTCATTTGGAGACTAAACATGATAAAAATATATAGAAAGTACTTAACTAAACTGAGTTAGAAGTGTATAGGAATTGATGATTTTATTGTGAAAGAAAGGGGTGTATTTATAGGCTTTTGGGAGCTGCAGGGTCTGATACCCGACCGGGTATATAGAATATCTGACCGGGTATCCTTAAACTGCTCGAAAGGAATCACATCCAACCCGACTGGGTTGGGTCAAAACCCGACCGGGTTACGTATCATATCGTATATTTTCCACGTTCTCTTGATCCTCTACACGTTCTTTTGTTCTTGTCAAGTCAACCCGACCGGGTTTTGTTCCAACCCGACTGAGTTTCGGCGCGTAGCTTCCTGTTAGCTTCATATGTCACTTCCAACCCGACCGGGTCGTGTTCCAACCCGACCAGGTTTGCTACGAGAATTTATTTTCACCATTCATCTTGTCTCCCTTTGGTACCTATAATACTACCTTGCATCCCTTAGGGTACTTACAACAAAATACAACCCGCACGGGTAGCTCAGTTGGTCGAGTGGTGGGAGATTTGGAACAATGGACCAAGGTTCGAATCCCCGCAGCGACCGGGTGGAGGTCACAGAACCTGAAATAAGATTGGGCCTCTGGTGCGCACGGGTGTATGGACCTACTGCTATTCTGCTGACTGAGTCACCGTGACTAACCTCCTCACCATTCTGTCGAGTCGGGGTGGGGGGCTCCTGGGGTGGAAGATTCCACCTTTTGGAACAATACAACAAAATACACTCTAAAAATATAAATTACAATCTATAAAATAAATCTAGAGAGTGCATCACAAACTAAACTAAACAATTAAAAATAACAATCAAACAATACTAAAATATAAACTTATGCACTAGGAAATAGTGCATATATGGTCAGACATTACACCAATAAGTCTATTCTTGACCAGCAGTCTCCTGCTAAAGTCACTGGCAGCTTGCTGCTAGACTAATATGACAATAGCCTGCTACTCACTATACATAGTCCTTAACCACTTCATAAAAAAAAAAAAAGGATGACACCTCATCCCTGAGGACCCCTAATCCCGATCGGACGATACGTTAGGAGGATCTAAATTGTACTATAATCCCAATCTGACAGATAGAGAGTGAGGCTCTGTCCCCGCTACTTGCAGAAGCCCTATGCATTTTTAGCATAGTAACCCCTCATCGCAGTTGTCGGGATTCGAACCTGGTACCTAATCCTTGTGGCACTCCCTTACTACGAGTTGAGTTACGCCCACCGGTACCTTAACCACTTCATAAATACTTTGATTGTTGTCTAAATCCGTCTTCTCATCAAATTGAAAGGGTCATAACCTTTGTTACTTTAAATGTCACACTGTATGATGTCAATACTTTCACTATCAGTTTCAAGTCCTCAAAAGATCTTGAAACTCACTCTATTAGAGGAGAAACTTTGAAACATAGAAGATTTAAAAGTTTATTACCTCCTCCCAAGACTTTTACTCACCGGGGACTCGTACATAACTTCAACCCAATCCTTCTTTTTTTGTGTGTTAACATTAATTGATCTCGAATAAATCAGACTAATCCCGAGTTCCCAAAAATGCACCACATATAAATTATTGAGAGAAGTAAATTAAAATCGTTCAATCAATCTATTAAGTTCTTGACGCCGTATATACACCATAATGCACAAGAAATTGCTCTTATTACCCGTATGCTCCAATTCCCAACACATCTCCCACGAAAATCCTACTCATTAACACCATCATATTCCCAACAAAACTAAGAGGGCGTTTTACACTTTTACAGTACCTAAAAAAGTGTTATTCAACTATGAATTCAAAAAAATAGAAAAGATATTTTTAAACTGTTGTTTGTGCGTCAATTAATTAAGCATTTTAAATATCAAAAGGATGTTACGTTCAAAAAACATATGAAAAGGAAGTTTTCAAGTTTTTTTTACTTTTTCTATTACACCAGAATGACATAAAGCACAAAATATTTCTTTCTATCAAATACTCTTCATTGATTGATTTCTTTCTATCAAATACTCTATCAAATACTCTTCAAAAAAACATTTCTTTCTTGATTGATGAGATACAATCCGGTGTTAAAGCAAAGTTGAAGGTATGGCGATAAACATTGGAAAGCAAGGGTTTCAAACTGAGGCAAAGCAAGACTGAGTATATGGAGTGCAAGTTCGGTGGAGGTAGAAGCAGTAGCAACAGTGGGATTACATCAAATCTTGATGGTAAGGAGATATCGGTGTGTGATATGTTCCGTTACTTGAGATCCATAATTCAGAAAGATGGTGAATTAGATGAAGATGTATGTCATAGAATCAGAGATGGGTGGATGAAATGGATAAGTGCTTCAGGATTTCTATGCGATCGAGGTATGCCGACTAAACTGAAAGGTAAATTTTATCGTACAACAATTAGGCCGGCATTAATGTATGGCGTAGAGTGTTGGGCGGTGAAGTAATGCCACATTCAAAAGATGAGTGTGACAGAGATGCGTATGTTGCGTTGGATGTGTGGACATACCAGAAAAGATCGCCTGAGGAATGAGGTAATCAGACAAAAGGTGGGAGTAGCACCTATAGAAGATAAGATGCAGGAGTCTCGTTTGCGGTGGTTTGGGCATGTGCATAGAAGACCGAGTGATGCACCTGTTAGATGACTTGAGGGGTGGGGAGAAGAGTCAGAGAAGAAAGGGAGGGGGAAGACCCAAACAGACTTGGATTAGAGTAATCAGAACTGATATGCGTCTTCTTGGGTTGGATGAGAGTATGACTTTGGAGAGAGCAAAGTGGAGGGCGCACATCCTTGTGGACGATTGATGTCTTGTCTACCTTTCCTCTCTTGTTTCTTTTATCGTTTATCTTCCTTATCTTTTTATATTCTTATGTTATTTTTATCTTCTAGCTTTTTTATGCTCTTTTATTTATTTTTCTTTTATCTTGGTTATATTCTTGTGTTATTGTTATCTTATATTTATGTATCTTTATTTTATTCATTTTATCTTACTTTTTTTCCTTTTCTTGTCTGCCTTCTCTTTTTGGCATCGATATCATAGATCGATTCATGTTAGCCGACCCCAAATTCTTTTGGGATTAAGGCTTGAATGTTGTTGTTGTTGTATCAAATACTCTAACTTTTACTCTTAGAAAATAACAGTTTTCCTAAAAAACAATCAACATTTGCTACTCCCTCAGTTTCAATTTGTTTGACACACTTTCCTTTTTTGGATGTTTCAAAATGAATGACACACTTTCTTATTTCCTTATTTGGTAAACAAATCTTTATCAAAATAGTGCAAAAGAGTGTCAAACAGTTTTCAAACAGTGCAAACAGTCCCAAACAGTGTACTCTACAATAAAATCTACCCATCAGTAACAGTTTTTCTTTAATCCTTGACAAGTCAAACTGTGTCAAATAAATAGAAACGGAGGTAGTATTAATCAATTTTCATATAATTTCAAAAATGAACCACTCCTCAAAGATAAAAACAAACACAATATCCAAATCTGCATTCAAACCAAGTTCCACTTGAACTTTTGGCTTGTCAATTCCAACCAAGTTCCATCAACACCGAATGGGTCTGTAGTTGGGATTTGGAAACTGCGCTATTATACGTAGTACTCCGTATAAGTTAATTGGCATACTCAGAACATACTCTAGGTACACAACCCAGCTACTCCCTTCGTCCCTGTTTTTTCTCCCATTTCGGCTGGGCACACTAATTAAGATAGTGTGTTTTGTGTGGTGGAGAGTTATGCAGAGGAGAGAGAAATGTGTAAAAATGTGTAAGAATGATTGTGAACCACAAATTCTTTGCCAAAAAGGGAAGGAGAATATAATTTTGGGACGGACGAAAAAAAGAAGTTTGAAGATAATTCAGGGACGGAGGGAGTACATAACAAAGACACAAATACACAATCTGATTGTGGATTGCTATAATTTGATGTACTTCCCGCCGACATTAAAGGTCAACTGATTTGATAGACTGATATAAAGTTTTCTTGAAAGCAAACGCATTAACTAATACTCCTTCCGTCCCGGAATTATCTTCATACTTTCCTTTTTGATCTATCCCAAATTTATCTCCTCTTTCCTGGCAAAGAATTTGTGGTTCACAACCATTCTTACACATTTCTCTTTCCTCTGCACAACTCTCCACCACACATTTCTCAATATCTTAATCCGTGTGTCATTTGTACTTCAGGAGATAAATATGGGACGGAAGGAGTATTAATAAGGTTATGGTCCAAAGATGTAGCAATACAAGGAGGGGGAGGAGAATATTGCCAAACATGGAAATGAAACATTGAACCGGCAGCTTTCACCATAGGTTCACTGATCGCCTCACATGAGAAAAATTGATACTAGTAAAACTAGCCGATAGCACTCTAATGTCGTCCACTAAAACTCCATAAGCTGAATCATCATCCTTATTTTTAATGGAATTAATAAGTTGAAGGGGATCTGATTCCATATCAATATAGTTCCAACTCGCACCTTTAAGCCAACTAAGTGCCTCCCTCGTAGATAGAGCTTCCGCCTCTCGTGGAGTATACTCCCCCGGGTGATTAATAGCACCCCCTGCAATGAAGAACCCCTCGCTGTTCCTAATAATCCAACCCAGACCAGCGCAACCCTTCCCTTACCGCAGCGTCTGAATTCACTTTTAATCTTCCCATAGGCAGCTTCTCCCATCTCCCAGCGGCCTGCCTTTGTGTTCTTGGCATACTCACTGGTTTTTGTGCGTTACGCCACCCTCTCCATATAGCTTAATACTCCAGCAACGATACCCTCCGTTGGCGTAGCTACTTTCTGCAGCAATCCTCCTCTCTGAAATTAGTAAAGAAGCTCTCAATCCAGTCCATGATCCACTGCTACTGCAAAGCTCCATTTCATCATACTTCTGCAATCCATGCAGCAATTCTTTTTCTGCTAAAGGATCATCCTCGACATTCTGCGTTAAGAATCGATAGCTACTCCTGACTGAGTATCTCCCGTCCTCCTCCCACCTCCTAATAACTTGGCCTTGGACTCTACGGAGACTCACTGGTATCTTAAGGATCAATTTACGGTCCCTGCTATTGAACAAATCAGTAAGAATATCAATGTCCCGGGCTGCTCCTCCTGCCTGCAATAAGCCTGCTACCGTACAATTTTCCAACCCCTCAATTACAACAGACTCCACTTTCGAGTTATCAGGACAAGGTGACCAAGGATCACGCCAAACATTAATTAAATTACCCTTACCCATTTTCCACATGAACCCTTGTTTTATAAGAGAATGTGTTTCAAAAATGCTCCTCCATACAAACGATGGGTTGTGCCCAATTTTAGCCTCTATGAAGGAAGAACAAGGATAATACCTTGCCTTTAAAACTCTGGCAACTAAGGAATCCGGCTGCTTAAAGATCCTCCCAGCTTGTTTTTCGAGCATTGCCAAGTTAAATTCCCGCATCCTTTTAAATCCCATTCCCCCCTTTTTCTTCGGAAAACTCATCCCAACCCAGTGCTTCCAACTAGTACCTCTTCCTGATGCACCTGTCCACCAAAATCCATTCATGGGTCGTTCTAACTCCATGCACATATCACGAGGAAACAGAAAAACGTTCATTGCATAATTAGGCATGGCTTGGACAACGGTTTTTAAAAGTACTTCTCTACCTGCTTTAGACAGAAATTTGTGATTCCACCCATTTATTCGCTTAATAACTTGTTCCTTTATGAACCCCAAAACCTCCCTCCTACTTCTGCCAACAAGGGAAGGTAGACCGAGGTATCTTGCCTCGGCCTCCATGGGCCCTACTCCTAGCATTTCCTTAAGGCCCTTCCGAACATCCCCAACAACATTTGCACTGAAATAAAGGGTAGATTTATGATAATTAATCATCTGACCTGAAGCTTCTTCATATTCTTGTAACACCTCCCTAATCATTGAACCCTCACCGTGAGATGCTTTAAAAAAAGAAAACTATCATCCGCAAACAATAGATGAGATATCCTAGGAACCCCTCTAGCAACTGCCACCCCATTAAGTCTCCCCATCCTTTCTTCCCTCCTCAATCTAGCACTTAACCCTTCCGCCACAATAATAAATAAGTAAGGCGAGAGCTGATCACCTTGCCTAATCCCTCTACCTGGAAAAATTGGCTCTAGCTCGATATCATCAAAGGGAATAGAGTAGGACACCGTACGTACCGTCTCCATAATTAAATCCACCCACTTAGGTGCAAAGCCCAGTCTTAACAACATGCATTCTAGAAATTCCCATTCTACTTGGTCATATGCTTTACTCATATCAAGTTTTAGTGCCGCATACCCGTCCCAACCCTGCCTTTTATTCTTAAGAAAGTGGTGGGTTTCGAAAGCTATATTATATTATCAACTATCGATTGACCAGGAACAAATGCACTTTGATTCTGAGAAATAAGCCCATCAAGCATCTGTTTCATTCTATTAGCCAAAACTTTGGAGAAAACTTTATAAACAACGTTACACAATGAAATAGGTCTCCAACCGACTACTGTCTAAGGCTTATCCTTTTTAGAGACGAAGACTATATGTGTATGATTCACTGTTTTAGGTAGCTTACTTGTAAGGAAAGTTTGCTTGTAGAAATCTACAACTTCGGGCCCCACCACCTCCCAAAAGTGTTGGAAAAAAACCGGACTAAGACCATCGGGGCCCAGACTCTTATCAGGATGCATTGAAAAAATTGCTTTTCTAACATCTTCTTCTCGAATAGGCCTCAAAAGGTATTGATTCTGATCATTCGAGACCAAGTGATCAACGCTGAATAGGACTGGATCCATATTACCCTACAAAGAAGCAAAAATATTAGAAAAATACTCATCCACCATCCTGCCCACTTCTGTCCTCTCCTTCTCCCATCTCCCCCTGGCACTTTAAAACCCTCTATTTGGTACCTTCGCCTCCTTTGTTTCACAGAGTTATGAAAGAATCTCGTATTCATATCGGCTTCTCTCAGCGAAAACTCTTTAGTCCTCTGTCTCCAAAAGCAATTTTGTGTTTCAAGTAATTCTAAATATTCCCCTTTCACTTTTCCAAACTCACTCAAACTAAAACTACCAATTCTGCCTCTAAAAAAACTGCAGCCATTTTTTACAGAACTCAATCCTCCCTCTCATTCCCTTTTTTCTTTCCCCCCACCTACTTACAGCCTCACCACATAGTTTGATCTGATTTGCCAGTCCAATCCCTTTACCCATGCCCCATCTTCTTTCAACAACTTCTCTACAATCCTCCTCCCGTATTACGTAGCCATAAATTTTCAAATTTAAATCATCTATTTCGATTATATCTCAATCTCAGACCCAGCTTTATGTAAAGGCCTAAATGATCACTCGGTGTCCCTTCAACCCAGACTGCCTTTGCTCCCGCAAATCGTTCCTCCCAACTAGGTCAAACCAAAATCCGATCCAATTCTCTTTAACCCATCTACTAGTACCCCTTCCCAAGTGAATTGGTGTCCATCAAATGAAAAATTTAGCAAACTGCTTGCCCAAACAGCCTCACGAAAGCCTTGTAAGGCCAACGCGGATGAGGTATGTTGCCTCTCTTTTTGCCATGGAACATGATATTGTTAAAGTCCCCCATGATAAGCCATGGAAGTAAACATAGTGAACTAAGGTGACACAGTAGATTCCAGGACTCCTTCCTCCGAGCTCTGTCCGGAAACCCATAAAAGCCAGTAAACCTCCAGGGGGAGTCCTCTGCTTCCAGCCTGACACTTGCATCAATGTAGTTGCTTGATGAACCAGTAACCTCCACCTCCACTCCATCTCTCCACAGGAGAGCAATCCCACTCTAGTGGCCAACACAATCTACTACAAACCAGTTATACCGCATTCTTTGTGCAACACTCGTAATTTGAGGAGTCTTTGAGAAGGTCTCCATGAGGAAGACAAGAGAAAGCCGCTTAGAGTGGACCACATCCACTAGAACCTGAGCTGTCGATGGGTTGCCAAACCCCCGACAGTTCCAACTAAAACAACTCATGATTCTAGGCGGGTCTGCACGGCAGAACCCGCCTCTAGCACGTTTTTTGAATTTTGTGTCAAGCCTTCCCCAAGTGACCTTACTGCCTTAAGAGAGCCCTCCACATCCATCCTCCTGCGTTTTCCCACAGCATGCCGCCCTTGTGTCTCAAACTCTCCCCCGCTGCTCTGTACCATAGTCCCGGATATACCCGCTTCACCAGCATAGCTCAGACCCCTTCCTTGCACTCCACCTCTCCCCTGCCCCTGACTGCCGTCTTCATCATTTCTCCCTCTTGCACCCACTGTATTATTGAAAAAGCCCCTCTAATCCCACCATCCGCCTCTCCAGTAACTAGCCATGAGCTTCTTTCTCCATCTTGATCTTTCCTGCCCCCTGCTTTTAACCACGTTCCGTATGTTTTTTCTTTCCAATCCCAACCTCCCTCTACATGTATGGAACAGTACCGGTTAGTATGACCCAGCTTGCCACATATAAAACAGAAGAGATGAAATCTCTCATACTTGAACTCAGTGTTCTAAAAGGCGGGGGGTGACTGGCCGCCTAGCGCCTAACTCAGTGTTCATTGCTGAATGTTTAAGTCATCATTGTGATTAAGTTCATTAAGTAGTAAGTCGAAAGTAAACCGTCTCTGACTCTAAAGTCAATGTACCTAATAGACTGATAAAGTGATTTTCATGCACACGCAATCAGGCACAAGTTTGTGTTACATCCACTATTTGGGACCGTCCTGAAACCGATTTTCCGGTCCCGGTCCCGGTCTAGAAACGTACCCCACCTCGATTTTCGTTATCCGGCCCCGGGTGCGTTTTTTTGGAACGAGACTTGTCGATCCCCACCGATCATTATTTTCATTTAGCCTTGGAGGTTATGTTTTGAGTTTTGACCGTTTGAAAAGCCTCCAAGGACAAGTTGAGAGCTTGGAAGAGTTCGGGATTGGGGGTGGGGATCCTTTGAAAACTTTACAAATACCGACTCCTTGAAAAGAATCGTATGGCTTCATTCTACAATGAACCCTTCTAATCTTTCGTTCCCTCTACTCAGATTATTCTCCACTCAACCAGTCATACATTCTTCATCTTTACATTTATATTAATACATTCATATATATATATATATATATATATATATATATATATAGAATAAGGATCAAATGAGAAGAGTGCTTATAGTAAGAAGTAAGAATGCATCTGGTGCGTTCATTTTAAGATCTGTGCATCAGATTCGCAAAAAAGTGCACGGGAAAGTGCAAAAAACATTTAAAAAATGATGCTAGACGCGGTGACATTTTCGTAATTAATCGGAACTTTTCTGCCATCGCAAAAAGTGCATCAGAATAGCAAAAAGGTGCATCAGAAATAGGTAAATGTGTAACTTCTAACTTCTCACGTTAAGATGTCTTCTCATTAGAACCCGACCATATATATATATATATATATATAGAAAAGATCATGTGAGAACTTCCCTTAGGCTGAGAAGTTGCGAAGTCTAACTTATAAGCTCAAAACACGAACTTTTAACCAATAAATCATAACTTGTAGCCCCCCTCCAAAAAAATTACGAGAATGTCACTGCGTCAAAATAACTCCAGAAACCTGGAAATTTTTTTTGCAGAAAGTTCGTGTTTTTGAGGGGGTCTATAAGTTATGATTTTTTAGTTAAAAGTTCGTGTTTTTTGCTTATAAGTTAGATTTCTCAGCTTCTCAGCCTAAGGACACTTCTCAGCTAATCCGCTCCACATATATATATATATATATATATATATATATATATATATATATGTAGGGTCAGGTTCTAATGAGAAGACATCTTAACGTGAGAAGTGAGAAGTTGCACATTTACCTATTTCTGATGCACTTTTTTGCTTATCTGATGCACTTTTTGCGATGGCAAAAAAGTTCCGATTAATTACGGAAATGCCACCGCGTCTATCATCACTTTTTTTAAATATTTTTTGCATTTTCCCGTGCACTTTTTTGCTAATCTTATGCACAGATCTTAAGTTGAACGCACCAGATGCATTCTCACTTCTTACGATAAACACTCTTCTTATTTGATCCTTATTCTATATATACATACACACACACACACACAATAATAATAATACGATTGTTTATTACATTAGAACAAAATTGAGCTCACAATCTCTTGAAACGCTCATGTGTTTCCATGATTAGTCGAAGGTCTGCCAACAAACTCAACAACTAAATATCGCACCGACCCGTCATTTCATGGAGGAAACGATAACCGAACAAGGAAGCGAGAGCTCCAAGAGGTGGGGGATTTCTAAATATTTTGTATTGTTCTTTACATAATTGTTTTAGCAATTACTTATTTACACAAATAATTTATATGTATTACATATACTTCAAATATGATGCACCGAGTATTATGTATTTTTTTCCAAATTTTAAGTAATGTTTTTCAGTGTACAAGTCAAATATTTTTTGAAGTACAAGGACATTTATTTTTTGATGTATATAGTCCTCTGTTTATATTAAATTGCTGGGCAATTTGAAAAAAAAATGTCCGAAATCGGGATCGGACCTGCGTGTCTACCCAACATAGTTTGGGACACGGTTATAGCAGGCTGGTCCCGGATCTCCCAATTTGTTGGCTGATCAGCTAGTCTTAGTCCAGAACCAGGACCCGGTCGGGTCCATGCCAATGTCTAATTGGTCTAAACTAGATTATCACCCGTGTGTTGCACGGACATGAAGTTATCAAATATGGAGTATTATCTTTTTAAAATACAACTGAATTACTGCATCAAAATTGATCTAACTCACACATTTTGAAGCGATAAAATACTCTCTATATAGGCTCTCATTACCATAATACTTTTCATTTGAATTTATATAACCCGGAGTATAACATATGTATGGACGAACATACATCATTTATATATTTAAACCTATTTAAGTAGTGCTATCGTTGATATTGGTTGTCTTGTTTTAGTTTGACACAATTATTAATAAAATGGTTAAAAAATTAAATTTATGTTTGAGAATTAACTTTAGTAAAATAAAGTTAAATGATAAGAACCGTGTATTTCTTATCAAAAAGATAAATTGAAAATTCATTTTGAGACAATCCAAAAAGGAACGTATGACAACTAAAATGGGACGGGAAGTATATGTTGGTCCAAAATAGGATGCTCGTAGACTTTTAGGAAAGCTACGTACGACACTCAAGTAGGAATTAGGAAAGCAAGAACGAGAATGGAAGGTGTCTAGGAGATTTAGTTGCCAGAAATAGCATATAGAATTCGCCTCCTAATATGAATTACAAGCCGCCTTTTATAGGCGTATACAAATCGTAACCGCTACCGATATAATGACTAATTAAATACAACATTAATACGGAATTAAATACATAATTAATAGCGCATTAATTGCTTGACTGTTACTCTTCCGTGCTGGGAGGTCGACCGGACTGGCAGGCTCCCCGCTGGGCTGGCAAACAGGCTCCAGGTTATGGACTTGGATACACGGGTCCAAGTTCGGGGCTTGGACTGATTAGGCTCTGAGCCTAGTCCCATTACTCCATCACGAGTCTCCAACTCCCTTAGTCGAGTCGTAGACTCGGCTAAGAGGAAGTAGTCCAAGTCAGTTACTCTTCTCCGAGGCTAGAATATCCCCGCCCTTGTCCGTGTTGGGGAGATGCCTCATTAAAAACCTTCATTAGGAAAAAAACCCAATGGAAAAAAAACCTAATGAAGGGAAAAAGATTACATCTTACGCCCCCAAGATGAAGCAAGAGGTAAGATCCTCAGCCTTTATTGCAATGGTCGCCATTTGAGAATAGGATGACTAGAACTGTTCTTCTCGTTGGACTCAAACCCGTCAACAGGTTCGTCATTTGCTTCCTTGAAGACGGTAAGACCCTCAGTCCCCCACTTCATTCAATTGTACCTACACATAAAAGAAACTAGTGTAGAATAGAGCATCTGGCCTGGTGTCGAACCACGGCTCAGTATGTAAGTGAGTCGGACTCACTACTTGAAAAGAGTGACATCAAGTTTCCAAGTTAGGCTTCAACCCAATCTCCGAAAGAAAGATTGAAACCGCGAGTAAGTGAGGCGGACTCCTCACTCGAACGGATAATCCAACCCCAAAAAACTAAAGTATATATCAACCTTTTCGAGAAATGTGAACGTCAATTAAGTGACAAAATTGCTCGGAAAAGCGTGGCTCTAGGCCCCTAACAAGAGTTTAACTCGCTTATAGAGTATATATCTAGAGAGAAGTGAGAGCTAGAGAGAGAAGTGCAAGTAAATGCTTCAATTAGGAGTGGACTCGGGCCGGGCCAACCGGCCCGCTACTGTGCGGGCCCGGACCGGCCCGGTTTGTCGGTTAGGTCACGGTTCGGGCCACCCGGCCCGGTCATGTAGCGGTTCGGGCCCGGGCTGATATTTTGGTGAATCGGCCCGGCCGGGCCTCAACGGTCACAAAAAAAAAAATTAAATATTTGAAGGCTCTACTAGCCGTTGGGAGACCTCCCAAACGGCTCTATAGCCGTTGGGAGCATAGGAGGGGGGGTCTGGGGGGTTAGGGGGTGGGGTGGGGGTGGGGGTGGGGTATACAAAAAAAACCTATTTATACTCATATTTTCTATACATTTTTACACCTTCTTCTACAACTCTTCCTACTCTCTAAATTCTCTATTCTCTCAATCTCTCATATTCAATCATCTTCATTCTTCATCTTCTCCAAATTCTTTCTACATATATATAATTTATATAATTATTATATCTACTTATATATTATAATATTAATTATCTACTTATAAATATATACTTATACACATTCATATTATAATTCTTTACGCATTATATTATATACTATATATTGTTATACATTATATTATATATTACTTATAATATATTTACACATTATATATTTATATATACTATATATAGTTATACATTATATTATATATTACTTATAATATATTTACACATTATATATTTATATATACTATATATAGTTATACATTATATTATATATTACTTATAATTTTTACATTTCTCATATTAGTTAATTAGTTAATTGCTACAATTTTACATTTCTCATATTAGTTAATTAGTTAATTCCTACATTTTTACATTTCTCATATTAGTTAATTGCTACATATCTCATTAAAATAATAAAACTAGTTAATTTTTACATTTCTCATATTAGTTAATTGCTAATATTTGTTCAATTTTAAAGATGGAGCGTGGTAGACATTCTGTAGATGTGGGTAATCTCCAACGCAACCACAAGAGGGAGATTGCATCGACTCGATCTACTTCACGCAAAGGCAAAGGTAAAGCGCGGGCCGAGTCTTCTTTTCAAAGTCAAGATGATTTTGAAACGGATTACCAACGGCGAGATGATATGATGATGTCCGACGAGGAACTACAACACCTATTGTCCCAAAATGATCCACGTTTTGCACAAGAACAACAATTCCCGACAACCATCGATGAAGAGGAGCTCGAGGATGACGATGGGGAGGAGGACTCGGGGGCGACGGGACTCCGGATGATGAGCAAGAGAACGAGGGCCCTTCAACGACTACAACCCAAATTGGTAAGAAATCTAAATCTCCTATTATTGAAAACAATTATACAAAAAGGAAAGACGAAAAAACCGAAAAATGGTACGCAAGTTGCAATCATTGCAAGAAAGAGTTTAGCTTGGGAATTTCTGGCGGATACGGGAGTCTCAAAAGACATCTTAAGTCCGCCCACTTTGTGGAGTATGCGAAAATAGACAAAGGAAAGGGGAAGCAAACACAAATATCAAGGTTTGCAAATTCTCAACCCTTTGGTAATTTTTCCTATGATGATAAAAAACATTTGACTGGTGTGTCTCATTTAATTGTTGAAGAAAATTTACCCTTTATTTTTTCCGAAAGTCTTGCTTTAAGAGATTATGCTCAAGGTACTTTAAATCCTCAATTTAGAAATTATAGTCGCAAAACGATTAAAAAAGAAATTATAAGGCAATATAACTTGGAAAAAGAAAAATTACAAATATTTTTCGCAAACTTTGATGGACGTGTTAGTATTTGTAGCGATATATGGGAGGATACTTATCATCATTTATATTATTTGGGTCTAACTGCACATTATATTGATGATGATTGGAATATGCATAAACGTGTTCTTGCTTTTCGTGAATTCAATGATCGTCACACTGCTGATAATATTTATATTCTCATTGAACGTATTTTAATTGAGTATAATTTGATTGATAAGGTGTTTGTTGTAGGTTTTGATAATGCTAGTAATAATACTGCTGCTATACCTAGATTACGTGAATTGTGTGGTGCTTCTACATTGATGGGTAGATTTTTTCATCAACGTTGTGCATGTCATATTCTAAATTTGTGTGTACAAGATGGCTTAGCGGCATTAGGAAATGCTTTGGAGGTAGTCAAGGGGGGAATTAAATTGATTTGGGCTAACACTCCACTAAAAATGCAATGGCGGCAATATTTGAAGGATAGACGTGTGAATTATTGTGCTTTTCCTAAAGATTTGTCTATTCGTTGGAATAGTGCTTATAATTTAATTCAAGTACTTGTTAGATATAAAGATCATTTTCCAGCTTTTTTAAGACAAACTTGTAACTATATTATAAACCCGGCTGACATCGACACTTGTGAAAAAATTGTTAATGTTTTGGCATATTTTAATAACGCAACTCTAACTTTTAGTCATGTTTATAAACCTACCGCAAACGAATTTTTTGTTGAAGCTGTTAATCTCGCCGGCGCTTTTTGTGAATTTTCCGACGCCACTTACGTTAGTTATTTTTGTGATTTCATGAAACAAAAGTTGTTAAAATATTATTCACATATTCCGCATATATATGGTATTGCATTTGTTCTTGATCCTCGTTATAAACTTCCTTACTTGGCAAATTGTATAGATTACTATTATGCTTCTTTTTTTCCAACTCAAGAGTTCGATGATAATCCCATCGACCCTAAACAAGAATTCAACGAGGTTAGTAATTTATTTCATCAATTGTATAATGAATTTCATGCACAATATGGTAATGCACCCCCTCCCATGCAACGAACATCTTCTTCATCTAAAGGAAAATCACTTTTAAAATCCGCTTTTGGTTCTCTTTTGAAAAAAAGTAGCAACTCCCGCTACTGAACAAAGCGCAGGTAACGAGCTTTCTTTGTATCTAACATTGAATGTTGATTATGAAGTTGGTGATGACTTTGACGTTCTTAAGTGGTGGAAGGAAAATGAAAGAACATTCCCGATTTTATCAAAGATGGCTAAGCAAGTACTAGCAATGCCGATATCAACCGTTGCCGTGGAACAAGAATTCAGTGCAGCCGGCAACGTCCTAACCGATTATAGAACGAGGTTGAGCCCGAGCTCTCTTGAGACACTAGTTTGCTTTCACGATTGGTTGAAGGCCCAACGAAGAACTCAAGAAATTACCATCACTCCCTCCCGCCACTTTATGGAGGAAACAACCGAAGGCGGAGAGTCCGATTGATTTTTTATTACAAAATGTATTACATTTTTTAAATTCATCCTAATTCTCAATTGTACTTCTTATTTGAAATAAATATACTTCAATTCGAATATAATATATTGTAATTGTAATAAGAATTATTCTAATTATATAATATTTAAAAAAATTAAATAGGCCCGGCCCGGCCCGTGAACCGGGCGGGTGACCCAAACCGAACCGGACCCGGGGTTATCCGGGCCGGTTCCGGGCCTGCCATCCTAGAACTAAGGCCCAGCCGGTTCTAGGCCCGAATCGGGCCCGGCCCGAACCGAGTCCACCACTAGCTTCAATAAATGATTTTTGTGAACCCCTACAACTACTCCCACAGGTAGTATTTATAGGGAAAATTAGGGCTGGGCTCCCAAGTCTTGGGCTTGGGAGGCCCATTTACAATAGGGCCACTAATGGGCCGGATACAAAGTACATAGAAAAGATCAAGTGTAAAATCCTATACTGGAGGCTGCTCATGGCCGGTGAGGGCACGGCCGACGAGGGCATGGCCGACGAAGACCCGGCCGACGAGGTCACCCGGTTCTCCTGGCTCCTGGACCGTATTCTGAGTAGACTGCTTTCCGGCCGATAGAGGTCATCTGGGTCGACGAGGGTCCCACCAGGTGATCGGTTCATTACTTGGTGGAAGGTACCTTCTGTTCTTCCGAGTGTGTGGGCCATGTGGTTCAGGCCCATATACTTCCGAATGCAAATCTGAGCCAAACTATGCCCCTGCTACTTGCACTTTGCTGGAAATACTTTAATATGACATTGTATCTGTATACTATTTGTTCAAGTGTTCCATATTTATGGCAATGATGATACCTTCCACCAAGTAATGAAATTAATGGTAGGTGGTGTTGATTCTATTTCTATATAGTTTCAATGCCCCCATTAATAGTGAAATGAATGCAAATCTGAGCCAAACTATGCCCCTGCTACTACCAATTAATGAAATAAAATGATTCAATTTCCATATTTCTGGAAATGATGATACCTTTCACCCAATATTGAAATTGATGGTTGCTAAGTAGCTTGTGTTGGTTCTATTTCTATCATTCTATGTACTTTGTTATGCCCCCATTTCTACCAAGTAATGAAATTGATGGTAGATCAATAGTTTATTTATTTCTGGCAATGATGAAAGATGCTACTCTGCTACCCTTCTACACTTCTACCAGGATGCAAAAACAAAGGAGTTGGTGTTGATTCTATTTCTATATAGTTTTTAATGCCCCCATTTTTTGTGAAGTGAAGGTAAACCTGAGCCAAACCTGATTGCATTTAGTATTCATCCTGTAATACATATTTTTTTGAAGTGAATCTAAATATGAAACCTAAACACTACATTTCTAGTAATTTTTTAACTTGTGATGTACCTAGGAACATATTCAATGAGTATTTTGTTGCTGGTCTGCTACACACATGGAATGATGGAGTCATGGAACTATGGAAGATTGGAAGAAGGAACTATATTCAAGATCTGCCCCTATTAAAATTCAATTTTTTGTTGCTACTTACTATTTTGGAACTTTGGATTTTTCAAAGTCTATTCTCAAACTGTATTATGTATAAGTATTTACGTAACAACTAACTGTATAACTAATTAACTGTGCTTGGAGTTGTACAAAGTAAAAGTACAAACTCTATTATTTTGCTACTTGTTACTTGTTAGTTGTTACTTGTATTGTAATGTAATGCTGCATTGTTTCACAAACTTATAATTTTAATGTGATAGTTGATATTGTATGTTATGCTATTTAATGGTTTTTAATCAACCCGAATGGCCCCGAATATCCGATTCAAACCGACCGGAATCCGAAATTGGGCAACCTGAACAGCCCTACATTTTTATAGAATAGGGTAGGGTTTTAAATTCCTAACCCGAAAACCGACCGGGTATGCCAAATCTTCACCCGTCCTACCTGAACCCGTCCGACGCTCTCCCCTACCACCAGGTGATCGTGGTACCTTATGTTCTTCCGAGTGTGTGGGCCATGGGGTCCAGGCCCATATACTCCATCACTCGCCGTCCGAGGTTAGTAGTTCAAACCCGCATGTAAAAACTTTTGAACGCGTGAATCGTCCCCTGAGGTCGGAGCGTGATGCACTAGGAAGAGGTAAGAGCATGCGAGAACTCGTATGAAGTAAAGAGTATGCAGTATTAACATTTATATTGGAGCTTATTAATCGTCCAACCCATATGACGTGACCCGATGGCGCGAGTGTGTGTGCTCGGCCAGTGTACGAGTGTGTGTGCTTGTCCGGCGTACTTGAGTGATCAGATTTCATTAGTCCGTTGTTCAATGTTAAAATACACACACTTAACAAGAGCAAAAGCAATTAAACCACTTAATTATCTTTTCAAATGTTTCAATTTATGATTTTTTTTGTAATGTTATTTATATATATACCGAGTATATATCATAAATAAATTAAGGATGAGGAACTTAGCTTTTAAATTAGGCCGAAGCTTTGTGTGTTTGACACTGTGGTGGTAGATTCTATGGTACCCATAAGGTATCATACTTATTTTTTAAAATGGGTACCGGAGTTGTCACAAACTGTGGTTGCTGAAATTGGGCTCAATGTAGTCTTGGCCCACCTATTTTGACTTGAGCCGTACCTTTGCTTAGGAGAAAACCTGAGAACCTCGCGGACAAAGAGAACGGGAGGAAGTAGCACCTTGGACCGGCCGTCGCTACTGCTCGTGCCGAGGTCCTTTTGCTCTATTCGGCTGGGATCGTGAAGAAAGATCTCCAGCGGCCATTAATAGCGGAAGCCCACAAGGCTCGAGGTCGATCTGTGTCGGACACGGAATAACGGCCTACTAGACGGAGGAGTGGCAAGACCAACTAAAACAGGCGTTTGGCAGCTTGACCGCCGGGCGAGCGGCGAGAGACAATTGATGAGGAAGGAGAGTTGCTGGTGACGGCCGACGGAGCTCACGACTCCGTGTTTGGTTGCAACGAAGGTTACAACTTACAACTTGTGGCAGTGGAGGGGACTTGTAATGGCGCAGAAAACTCCAGCTAGTGCACTGAGTTTGAGCGGGCTTCACAATGTCCATGGCTGCTCCATTCTGCCAAGACCGCACAAGAATCTGAAAAAAATCCAGATTCTTTTTCTTCCACACCTTCATGGGCTTTTTCATTTTTTTGAGATTTTGAATTACAGACCTGAACAATGCTAGAAACCTGTTAAATCTGGGGAGTTGGGAAACTGTTTTAGAAAATATGGCGGATTTCTCAGAGTATCGTGTGATCACTTTCCGAATCTAATATTTCGACCCTATGCCTGGGTTACACGAAATTTAGATTATGGGGATAATCACTCTGAGAGACAGTCTAAAACTGAGGCACCAATATATAGACCACGAACTAGCAGTTTTAGTAGAACTCGAATTCTTCTGATTACCAAAGAGATAAGGTCAATCAGTTAGAGTTTTACTCTAACAAAAAGTCATTCTATTAAATAATTAATATGGACATGTTTATCCGAAAATAAATTTCCATATTTATTTCTTTAATAAAATAAAATTTTGGTCCGGGGCGCTGCCCCTTGGACCCCGCCAGGGGCGCTGCCCCTTAGACCCCGCAAGGGGGCGCAGCCCCCTTGACCCCCGCCATTTAATCGAACCAAGTTTAAATTTAATTTCGTACAAGTGTGCGCTCCGCACCTCCTAACTTGTCAAAAATTAAACTTGAACTCCATTGGTAATCTGTAAATTCCATTACACTAAAATGAACTTGGTGATACTAAAATCACCAACAAAACCTTCCATCTTCGCCCCTTTTTCTGAAACTCCGGATCAATTCCTACTAGAGTGATGTGAGAGACAACGGAGACTCTCACTCAATGAAAGCATCAATGTTGATCCAAAATAGGACGCTCGTAGGCTTTTAGGAAAGCTACGTACGACACTCAAGAAGGAATTAGGAAAGCAAGAACGAGAATGGAAAGTGTTTAGGAGATTTAGTTGCCAGAAATAGCATATAGAATTCGCCTCCTAATATGAATTACAAGCCGCCTTTTATAGGTGTATACAAATTGTAACCGCTACTGATAATAATGACTAATTAAATACAACATTAATACGGAATTAAATACATAATTAATAGCGCATTAATTACTTGACCGTTACTCTTCCGTGCTGGAAGGTCGGCCGGACTGGCAAGCTCCCCGCTGGGTTGGCAGACAGGCTCCAGGTTGTGGACTTGGATACACGGGTCCAAGTTCGGAGCTTGGGCTGATTAGACTCTGGGCCTAGTCCCATTACTCCATCAGTATCATTACTTTTTATTAGTACTATAAACATTGTCTAAAAGGAAAGGCAACACGTAGCCTAAGATATAAGTTTAGTTATCTCAAATTGTAGAATTAATGAAAGAACTTTAAATTCCATTATAATACGAAGTATCTTTTAGAAAAAAAATAGAGTAGTGAAATTTAGTTGTTTGAAATAGAAGATAAAATTATACTCCATACTTTTTTTATTAGTCGCTTATTCTTATTTGAGATGTTTTTTTTTATTTGTCCATGTTTCTGTTGTTAGTAAGTTTTTTTCCCTATCAAAATATCTTTATAGATTCACTTTTTACCTTTAACTTTTTTTATTTTTTAATAATAAATTACTTTCTATTTTTACTATTTCATTACTTTACTCTTATTTAAATATTCTCTTTCCTACACCCCGTATATCAATGCCATTATCGGCAACTCTCCTACTTTAATTATACCAAAAGATTCGCCACTTTTGTATAAAGTACCCCATCAATTCGAGCTTAAGAGCCTGTTTGGTGATCGACTCTGTTTTTCGTCTTATCAGCCAACTTTTTAACCAAACACGTAATTTTTGATTACGCTCGCTGAATTGTGTAATAATAAAAAAAAAGGTGAATTTACTTTTCTGCCTTTATTGGCCGAAGTTACTGTAGATGACCATTTTAGCCATTTTTCATATATATATTTTCTTTATTTTATTACTAAAATATATTTTATATTTTTTTCATAAATCAGTAGAATTGACCAATACAATCATTTCAGTCAGAACTTAATAAATTTCAACAGAATCAGCCGATTCGGCCGATTCTAGTGTTACCAAACGGGTTCTTAGATTCTCGCTTGTCTTCTTTAGATACACCGACTAAATGTTCTCATTTATATTTCACGAAACGATTAACCCTTACAAATGACAAACTAATCACCAAATATTAAAAAATACTACCTACATCTTAAACATAACAATTATCGTCAACGTCCCAATTTATTATATACTCATCAAAACTTTTTCTCAAATTTACTCAGATTACCTTACTAAAATATTGTTTAAATAACTGTGTCATTCTTATACAAATATTTAATCAATTCTAGACAAATTTTAAAATTTAAAATTCCAGACAATTTTAATTAGCACGTAGGAAGTATAAAGTCTCTCAAAAACATTTTTTAAACGATGAATCAAGAAAAACGTTTTATTAACCATGCAATTAAGGAGTTTTTTTAACAAACATTGTTAATGAGTATCTAAGCAATACCTTTATACTTTCATAGCAGTCATATTAGGGTCGAGCTTGTTAGAATATCTAAGCAGTGGGTACGCGGCCTTTGTACTTTCAATTCTTCTTCCAAAGCCACAAAGCCGATGCAATACATTATACTCCCTCCGTCCCGAAAAGGTTGGTCAAAGTTGGCTTTCACTGCACGTGGATTAATAAAGTAAAAACTGAGTAGTTGAAATTTGTGCAGAAAAGAGAGAATTAATTTTAGCCACATATTCCTTACTTTAAATGAAAATGGCAAATCTTTTTTGGGACATCGAAAAAAAATTGGCCAACCTTTTCGGGACGGAAGGAGTATGGAGTAAATTAAACGACCTTTGGCTAATCTTTTAGACTTTTAGGGTAGAGCTTTGTAAAGCTCCAATGCAATCAATACCAAATTGTTTACCATGTGATAGTGACGTTTTTGAGAGGGAATTTTGGCCATTTTTCCACCTTGGTTTGTATATAGATGGATATCAATGGTAAAAGTGTTCCCACATTTCTGAAAATTCAATCATAATTTCGTAATTTGTCTCTGAAAACATTTTGTATCAGAAAATACATCTAATATACTGGCAATATCTCATTTACCTTATAAATTTCAAAAAATACAAAATGTAGTTCTTCCAAAGATTTTCCAACATCGAAATGTCCAGCAATAATTTTATCCTTGATGGAACTATCCATTATGTCATTTTAGTAGTTAGTGAATCAGGAACACTTGAATCTTTCATGCTTTTCTCACAATATCAACTAGGAGGTTGCCATGTTCCTGGTCTGAAGGATTCTCCGGATCCAGATGGCTCGGAAGACCTGCAAACAAGGGGAGAAGTTGATGCTCAAGATGTTTATGCACTTCAAGGATAAGCTCAAACTAGGAATTGCATGCAAGTCATGATGATTCGTGATAAACGAACTCACTCAGGTTGTTCTTTTATGTTATGTGGACTTTCTTCCACGTTTGCTTTTTGTCTGCAATCACATATACAAACTGGTTCTAAAAGCAGACACTGATCAACACAGACATTGTAATAGTAATTTGTCATTTAATAATTAATCATATATACGAAGGTTCAAATTTTGATCTTCTGGGGGTTCATTTATTTTTGTTGTCCGAAACACGGACAAGACAGTACGTGAAGCGAAATATATTACCTGATTAGCCATCTATAGAAGCAAAAACATATAAACATGCCCAATGTGATGTTCACAAAAAATCAAGTCCCATACCCAAAACGGCAAAACCCGCAATGTGCACAAAATGGAAGAGTGAATTATGGTGATGCCCATGGAGTTCGGACAAACCTACTGATAGGATGACAGCTCAGCAACCTATTAAATATTTTAATAAAGTTTATCAAAGGAAGAGGGGAAGGGCAGTTTAGTAGATTTGCTCATAAGTTAGTTATTTACTTTTGTCCCTGCGTGGACACTTTACTATAAATAGTATGTTAGTAGCTAATAAATGCAGGCTGAATTTAGTGGATGTCAGAACTTTTTGGAGGTTGGGCCCCTCGAATTTGCCCTGAGCACTGTATCCTCTTGTGATCTGTTCGGTTGGATAATAAAATTCCCGATCATCATCTCCCATTTCTTACTGTGTTTTCTATCTATTTTGACCATTCCTATCACCTACATTTGTGCCCCTCAGGTTTGATAAGCATTCTTAAATGCTCTTGCTATTAGTATCCGTTAAGAATGAATTATGCTCATGCCCTGAGGGCAGGAGCACTTGAGGATGGCTGCCGAACCTTAAGAGCAGAACTGCAGGTTTATCAAAATCTGAGGGGTGCCGTAGTAATACACACAAGGAAGAACATTTTATCAATTCATTGGTGATGACTAGAATTAGTAAGAATTTTAAGGCAAAAAAAATGTTATTTCCAGAAGTCATTGCCAACCTGCTTACGTCCTGTGTATTAGAGGGTTCTGCAGCTGTATAACCTTATCAAAGAAACAAAATAAGAAACTAAAATTAATAACAAAGCTACAATGGCCTTTTATGAGCACCATCACCGACTATGAAAAACCTGACAATATATGATATATTTAATGCTAATCTAGAAGAGACTGGCAGTTGATAGTATAGCATGAATCCCAACTAAAGCTGTCCTGGTCCTCTATGTATTGATTTTCATGAAATTCATAGGCACGCTTATAAGGGTACTCTAATACAAGAGCATAATACCTTTAGAGGCATTGGAAAATTGCCCGACAAAATGTTTCAGGTCTGGACCAGCAAGTTTACCTGAGTACATATAATCAGTAATAAGCAAAGGCTGGTTAGCAACCTATCAAAAGAAAAAGTAATTTGTTTCACCTTCTAAGCCAATACAAAGAACCAGTATTGAAATTTGATGCTTACCCACACTTGATTTCTTGATCTTCCCTTCCCTGGCTAGTCGTTCCTCTTCCTCCTTCATACCTTGGTAGAATTTAAAATTAATATATAATAATATTTGAAAGAATGGCATAAATATTAGTTAGGGAGTTTGAATGGACAAAAATATGATCATTTTATACTTAGACAAAAAAGTGACCCAGCTCTCATAGCCCAAATCTAACCCATTCCCGTTTCACGTTCATACGAAGCTTCTGCTTCTCCTTCGATCGGCGTCTACCTAGCGCAACCAACGGACTACCGCATCTCTCTGCGCGCCTTCTATCTGCTTCTCTGCTTCTCATCACCATCCACGTCGTTCTTCTTCTCCGACACGACCTCTCCATCGGAGATGGTGGCAAGGATTCGGTAAAAAACGACGATGACAGTGGCTATGGTACGGCGATGGCGTCTCGAGCCTTGGAGACGACAGCCACTGTTGACCGACCTAACTCTTCTTCCTCTCCTTTCTACGTCAATTTAGTCTCTACGTCTGCTATTGCTTCGATTGGGACAGAGATTTGGTTGATTAGGATCTCGGATCTGGAGTCTGAAGCTAGTGTTGCGCTGGGGTGAGTTATAGGAAGAATTGCAGCTGCGGTCAGTGGTGGCGCGGTGATTCGATGCGGCGGCTGCAGGGGATGGGGCTGGTGGGCTGGGGATGGAGCTGGTGAGCTGGGGAGGGGTCTGGTGTGTTGGGGAGGCAGCTGGTAGCGGCTGGTGGGCTAGGCAGGGGGCTGGTAGGCTTAGGAGGGGGCTGGTGGGATGGGGAGGGAGTTGGTGAGCTGGGGAGAGGGCTGCTGGGTGGGTGGGCTGGAGGGGGATGGTAGCGGCTGGGGAGGGGGCTGGTGGAATGTGGAAGGGGGCAGGTGGGCTGGGGAGGGGCTGGTGTGGTCACGGTTAGGGCGGAGGCTGTCATCGGTGGCGGTTGTCGGGTGTGCGGGTGCTGGGTGTGGGGGTTGGGGTGTTGGCTGATCGGTCACTGTGTTAGCGGCAATAATTTTACTGAGCGGAGACGGTCACAATGACATGTTTTGCGATGACAGTGACATCTGAAAGTGACTTTAAAGTTTGGCAGTGACAAATCATAGTGACACGAAAAAATCGCAGTGACATGAAAACTATGACCGGCGGCGGCGGTGATGTACAGTTTCGCCGGAAAAGGTTGGCAGAAAATTTTTCGCCAGTTTAGTGACATTCAAAAGTGACATAAAAAACTGATAGCGACATACAATAGTGACATAAAAAGCAGTGACATCATGTTTTTTCATATATGTGACCTTAGTCACATTTTTTTCCTATAAAAATGGTCACTTTTATGGAAATTAGCTTCAATTACGTAATCATCATCATCATTATTATCATTAGCTTCAATTACGTAATATTCAAGGAAAAAGCCCATAATATTTATAAAGAAAACTGCACATAACGTCATTATCCTGGAAGAGAATCCAGAACCCTTCTACAATTTGACATATTCCTGTTAACTTTCAATGTGTAAGAGTGAATGTTACCCGGTGTTGAGAACTGACACGTACCATTAATTAATTAATTAATTAATTAATTAATTAATCATACTCACGAGCAACATTAAGTTTAAGACGCTCCCTTCTAGCATCTAGTTCAGCCATCTCCTGAAAACACACAAAAACAGTTCTCTAGTTAAATTAGGGTTCTCTTACTCAGGTGGTCATTCAAATGGTTACCCCCCAATCTAATAGACCTTACCTTATCCTAACTTTTGTTATTTCATTACCCTATTTAAAATGTTGACAGCAGTCTACAAGCTTGTAATCATACGCTTAAAGTATTGAGAATGGTAATCATATTCATTGAGAATTTTGAGGGAAGTATTCAGAATTAACCTCAGAAGTTGGTGCACTTTTCCGTTGTCCATTCAACCAGCATATCCATTCAACTGCACATATTTAAGAAGAACCCATTAAGTGAGGAATGTCCCCAATAGAGTCACCTGATAGCCCTGTTGAATAAAAAGAAGAAATAGTAATATAGTTTTAGTAGTATTATTGTAGTTTCCTATTCTTATAGAGTTTAAGGTCTATGGAAGGTTTTGGTTTCCTATCTACATGATTTAGGTCCATTATTTCTCTACATAAGCATGATAATAGTCTCTAGAACTTCTGAAGTTGAGCTCAAAGTCATATCAATACAAGCAAATGAAGCAATATTCCCTTTGCTCCAATTTAAGGTTTCCGGACACTAGTCTCGTGGTCAACTTCACTATCTTTTAATCTGTAATATTTATATAACAAATTTTCACCATATACTAATTCAGTTTTTGTGCTTCAATAGAACTTTTAGTGTAGTGTCTAGATATGTAAATTTTAATACTAATCACAATACAATTATTATAGACAGGAATTAAATTTATCATTAATCAATCATCGTAAACTGAACTGAGATCCTTAAATGGGTAGGACAGGGAAGTTTATCATTCAACAAGTTCATTTGATAGAGGGCTGCGCGAGGGGCTCACATTCTTCAGTTTTAGCAGAACAACACAAATAAAACTTCATTGAGTATGCCAGCTTGAAAAAAAAACTATTCTACCAAAGTTGTTCTTTATATTTGATCAATAGCCATGCAAAACAAGTATTCTTCAGTACTATTTCATTGGAGACAAGATGACAAATTACTAATATTGCACGTCTGTGCTACTAAATGAAAAATTAACAAGTGCTGTACCCCGGCTGTACCCAAAATTGCTAATACAGTTTGACCATTGACAAGCATAAACAGTAATATCCAAGAAAGTAACAAGCAAAATAGAGAAAACAAATGGAAGTAGAATCAAACTGGTGTCATGAGAGTATACCCGGGATGGAGGTTGGATCATGCTCTCCTTTAAATACCACCCACCTTTTCTCTTTCACTGAAATACATCAACAACATAAAACAATGAGAATACTTTCCAGCATCTACAAACTGTGTGAAGAACAACAAATATAGCTTTTGTGGTGACATGTTTTTGGACAACTAATCATCCTCAAAAGCATTCTTTGGGGAAGGTCCTATAAGTCTATAACTCTATGTCTTGATTCAGGTGCAGGTTTGCAGCCTTTAAGGTAAGAGTATGCAACAGGAATCAGGAGATGAACTCAACTGTTAAAGGTGATGAAACTATCAACAAGAGTTTGACTCGATTGCTGGAGAAACCAAGTGGAAATTGAGAGTTGTATTGAATGAATTTACAATTGAACGTCATTCTCTTTATTTATACAAGTTCTAGCCAGGTAATGCCAGCTAACAGATGACAGCTAATCAGATATAACAACTTGTAACTAACTCCACAACAAACTAACTAATAGAAACTACTCGTATTACAGAGTATAGAGAACCAACATCTTCTCTACTGCTACCACTTTATAATCAAAACTAGAGAGCTGTTAGTTTGTTAGAGTATGGAGGTTGGATCCAGCTGAAACGCCTGGAGGGGCTGCTACTAATGCTTGAAGTAGCCAGTCTTCTCACAGCCGATGAGGAAGAATGTCCCAACCTTGAGTCCCAACATGATGTCACTTCTTTTTTATGCCATTCAATGAAAGAGAAGGATTCCAGAGATTTATCCTTCTCACAGCCGACTAATGCTTGAAGTAACCACATTGTTAAATTTACAAATCAAAAAATGGCACATCAATAAAACTGGAGTGTGTGTGTGTGTAGAAACTTGGTTTTATCCTAAAAATCTAAAATATAACCTTATAGGAGTGTATCTATGGACTTTGAGTTTGTATTCTATCATTTCATTTCATTTTCATTTACCCCAGTGCCGCAAAGGCTCACACCTACAGTGGGTAAGGGGGATCATATGTACGCAGTCTTACACTTGTACTAAAGCAAAGAGAGAATGTTTCCAGGTTACCCATAGTGAAAAACGCGTCCAAAATTGCATGGACCGACTAGTTTAGTGAGCCATTTTGCTTTATTCCATCATAATTTCAAGCCAAAAAATAATGAATCTTTGGCTCCATTGCAAATCATGGAGGTGAGTTTGTATTCTATATTTGATGAAAATGAGATGGCAAAACATATCCAAGAAGATTGTGGCTTGTTGAAGCGGACTAATCTTGTTATTTATCATAATTTTTAGAATACACATTAGGGCTGTGACAGTTGAATCTTGCAAAAATGCAAAATTTATAGCTTTCAGTAAACACATTATTCAATAATTGAAGTTTTAGGGTATAACAAATATTAGACTATTAAGCATTGCAAATCAAAGAAGCTCGGGCATTAACATTTCAGGATAATCAGAAGATAAATATTGCAAGAGAGAAAAAAAGAGACCCACTTACTAAAACCATCAATCTCCTCCTTTCTGGTAAAGTATCGGTTGCCAGTTTTATCTACCCCTACCAAACTCCTGTTGCTCAACATCCCCGCAAACTTTGCCCATATCCTTGACATACTCTACACTCTGCCTCTATGAAAATCAGTGACTAGTAAGATTTTTTTATGAAACGATGCAAATACGGATTGAAGAACAAGGAGCAAGGTTCTTGAAATCATTAAAATGGTTGGACTTGGTAGGCTGTGTTTCACAAAGTGTGCGTGTGAAAGGAGAACATGTTGAAGAGTTTTGGAACTCCAAGGCTGGCAGAGAGGAGTGCAACAAGTTAGGTGAGGGTTCGAATCCTGTCAACCCCTATGAGAGGCTAGGCTAAATAGGGTCATAGCATTATCTGAGTACGACAGAGATCGTTCTCTATCTTTCCATTATAATTCAATTTACATCCATCCAACGTACCGTCCGATCGGAGTTGGGTCTTCAAGGATGGGGTGTTATACTTTTTTTACTATGAAAAAGGGTCAATTGATGGCCGTTGGATGAACTAGCAGTTAAGGGACCAAAGCTTAATAAAAACTATTAGGGGGGCAATGTTTTATAAAAATTATTGGAGGGCCAAAGTTTCATATCTGCCCCCTAATAATCTTCTATTTTGACTTTGACACATTATTATATGGAGAAAAAATGAAAATCATTGGGCCAAAAGATGTAAATGGAAGAAAAAATAATATTTCCCCATTTCCAAACATTTGACCTAAATTGATTTATACGTAGAATCAAAGTGTAAAAATTGTACAATTGTGTTTATGCATATGAGAGAAATAAGTGTAACCACGTGTTTATTATGACTTTAAATGAAAATGACAAAATATATATTTGGTTGTTGTTTGTTGGTCCATATAATGCGTGTTTGTGGGTTGTGCTACGGGCAGCACATATCGGGGCAATGGAGTGTGTGTCATGAAACAAACAGTGGTGTGTGGACTCACATTACATTGTTGTAAATTATCGCAGCTTCACCCTTTTGATCTCACCTTTTTTAATGACTCCCCGTGATCGGAAAGAAAATGAAAAGGAAGAAGATTGGCATGTGTAGGGAGTGGCAAAAAGGGGACGATGAGGCAAACGACCATCGCAACGTCACACCGAACGCGAGGTTGATGGCTATGTTCCCGTCACACCGGTGACACGGTCGTCAGCGATTCGAAGGAGGCAGTCGGCGAAGGTCCTTCGCAGCAGTGCATGTGCGGTCGATGAGGACACGAATGAGACGGTCGACGAGGATCCTTCGTAGCGGCGCAAGCGCCAGGCGCGACTGACCAGATTTGCCCTTCCTAGTAGATGCAGTGATGTAGATGCTAAGCGGATGCAACGACACATGTGAGATTAGAGTTGGTGTTAATCCCTCTATCCTGCTAAGTTTGTCACATCTTTTCATTTTGGTATATCCCGCTAAGTTCGTATTTTGTCAAATTTGGTAAGATTTGTGGACTCCGTTATCACAAGAGAGTCCTGACGCCTAACACCGTTAGAAATCGCCGGAGGAAGACGATGAACAGTAACTTCGATTTTCAATAGTGCCCGGAAAATTAAAAGAAAAATATCGAAAGGTGCGCCTCAACAAGAAGACCACTGTGTCATCTTTCTTCTTTGTTTCTAGTCACCCTTGTTATCAGAAAGTCCACCGGAAAAGTTATATTGTCGAATTTATTTAAAAAAAACACAAACATATCCGAAAACCCAAAGACGATGGTGGTTTGGAAGTCATCTTGACGAGGCGCACCTTCCGATAATTTTCTTTTAATTTTCCAGGGACTTTTAAAAACCGAAGTTACCGTTCATCGTCTTCCTCAAGTGTTTTTAACAGCATGACCCTTTTGTGATAACGGAGTTCAAACACATGAACCATTTTGATAAAAATGAAACACATGAACCACTTTGATAAAAAATGAAACATATGACCCTATCTGAAAATGCGCCCAACCACATGTAGCTTTTTCGTACTTTTCCCTACTTTATTCTCACTTTATCTATTCAATATCAAACACATAAAATCACTCCTCTTGGTAACAACGCCTTTTATTGTATTAATGTTACAGGGACCTAACTCGCACGGGTAGCTCAATTGGTTGAGTGTTGAGAAAGTTGAAAGAATGACCAAGGATCAAATCCCGCATTGGCCGTGTGGAGGTTATATCTCCTGCGTGTGGGGATGGACCTCTGGTGTGCATTGGGTATAAGGTCTACCACCATTAGACCGACTGAGCCACCGTGACTAGCATCCTCCCAAAAAGCCTTATCGGGGCGTGGGGGGCCTTGGGATTGGGGATTCAACCTTTTGGAAGAATGTTAGAGGGACCTATGTACCAGTATTTATATGAGTCATCTTGGTCCTTTCACTTTAATTTTGTATCTTTTATGTCCAAACAAAATATGATCATGTTTTTTTTTGTCAATCGAGAATTTTACATATTACTTTTATCACTCCTCTTGGTAACAGCAACACCTCTTATTGTATTTGGTCCAAAAGGTTGAATGCCCAACCCCAAAGCCCCCCCTCCATCCCCGACCTGACAGGATGGTGGGGAGGTTAATCACGGTGACCCAGTCAGCAAAGCGGCGGTATGCTTTATACACGTGCGCACCAGAGGTCCAGCCTTATTTCAGGTTTTGTAACCTCCACACGGCCGTTGCGGGTTTCGAACTTTGGTCATTTGGTCCAATTTTCCCACCACTCGACCAACTGAGCTACCCGTGCGGGTACACCTCTTATTGTATTAGTGTTATTCAAGTTGGTCATTCTAGTATTTTGCACATATTAATTTCCTTATTTTATCAAGTATAATTTACAAATAATTTCTAAAATTGAACGGATGTGTTCGTAATTTTAGAGATGTTTAACCGCTCAAATGATAATTTCTGTTGCGGTTTGGTAATCCTCTTCAGGTACCACGGCGATGGAAGATCAATCATAGCTAGCGGTACCAGATCGCAGCGGAAAGAGAATTATCATTCGATCTGTTAAACACCTTTAAAACTACAAATACATCAGTTTAATTTTAAAAAGGGGAAATCACATTTTTTTTTGTCCCTCGGTCATCACCATATTGAAATGTGTTTATGAGATTGTAAATGTCATCACCGAATTCACGGATGTGTTGTAAATGCCATCCTTGATTAATTTATTGATAGTCCAAAATTGAAGATGGATTATAAACAATAGGATGACATTTACAACACATCTGTCAATTCGGGGGTGACATTTACAATCCCACAAACTCGTGTCTGATATTTCAATATGGTGACTAATTGAGGGACCGAAAGTGTGATTTTCCCTATTAAAAATTATACGTAAATTATTTACTTGATAAAAATTATATGTAAATTACTCCCTCCATCCCGAAAAGGTTGGCCAAAGTTGACTTTCGCGTGAATTAATAAAGTAAAAACTGTGTGGTAGAAATTTGTGCAGAGGAGAGAGAATTAATTTTAACCACATATTCCTTACTTTAAATGGAAATGGCAAATCTTTTTGGGACATCCAAAAAAGGAAATTTGGCCAACCTTTTCGGGACGTAGGGAGTATTTATTTGTTGAACAAGGTGTTAGGGTTCGAGAAATTTATCCTATTAGTTATTGTTATTATGATGGTTGGTTCATGTTAAAGTCCGTGTTGCTAGATTTATCGGGATGATTTTAAAATTCAGCTTATTTTTATGTCATTAGAAGCATACAGATCTGTAGGACCAGTGATAACTGTGTCAAGCCCGCTTCGTGGTTAACGATTCATGTTGCTCTTTTTGGAGTGAATGTTTCTATGACTAATCGTAGTGTTTACGGTCATAATTGGTGGATGTTAGTTGATATCAGGTATGGTTTTTCGTTAATTGATGTAACGATCCCGAAACTAATGATATACATATGGGTGATTTCCTTTCCAAAAAAAGATCGAATGAAAAACACACATGAATTTTCCGTCATTTTGACGTGCGACTTTGCTTTGAGTCTTCTTCACCGACAACAGTCTCTTATTGGCCGGCTAATCAAATCAACTCCAAATAAGTCAAGCCTCTCATATACTCCCTTTCTCCCTAAAAGGTTGACCAAATTTCCTTTTTGGATGTCCCAAATAAATTTGTCATTTCCATTTAAAGTAAGGAATACGTGGCTAAAATTAATTCTCTCACCTCTGCACAAATTTCAACCACACAGTTTTGACTTTATTAATCCACGTGAAAGTCAACTTTGGCCAACCTTTTCGGGACGGAGGGAGTATTAGTTAAGCGTCGTGCGCGACAGTAAACCCCAAGAGGCAACCCCATCTTTTTCCCAATCGGCTATTGTAAAATAATGATTGGTACTTTGATAGCCGTCATTAACTTCTTCCTTGGAGGGTAAAGTAAAGAGTTTGAGATTTCAGGATCTCGACATTTTGGGATTTCGAAATTTGAGATTTCGATGTTTGCGATTTCGACATTCTGAAGATTTCGATATTTTAGGAATTTCTTGATGTTTTGAATTTTTCAAAGTTTGGAGTTTCTTGAATCACAAAATTTTTTTAAGCTTGATATCTTTCTTAGTTCAGAACATTTAGAAACTTTACATTATATGATTTTTGGATGATTCTCTGCTTCTCAAAGTTTTAACGAAGTTTTCGATGTTCTGATGTTTTACAAACAACAAGTTTTCGATATTCTGAGGTTTTCGAAACTCCAAAGTTTTCGATGTTCCAAACATTTTGGAATTCTGAAGTTTTCGAAGTCTCGAGGTTTGTTTTTGCAAGTGGATTTCTTCATTACTCTTCGAGGCAAACTCAAGATTAAGATCTCGACGCTTAAACCTCAAGATTAAGATCTCGAAGTTTAAACCTCGAGATGAAGATCTCGAAGTTTAAACGTCGAGATCCTGATCTCGATGTTTAAACCTCGAGATCATGATCTCGAGGTTTTGCCTTAGAATTTGTTTAATTTCACCTGCTCTCGATATTCAACATCGAGAACCTCAACTTCGAAGAATTTCCTCAAAAACTCAAAATTTCGAGATTTTTAGCGACATCGCATTGTTTTGGCCAAAACTGTTGACTCGGTGATCCGATTTAAGCGAATCATACCTTGCTGGAAAGCTGACGAAATGATCTACATGAATTCCGGGGGTTTACACTAGAACCCCCAACCACGCGCCCTCACTCTTGATCTCGGTGTTTAAACCTCGAGATCCTGATATCGAGGTTTAGCCTTAAAATTTTGTTTAATTTCACCTGCTCCCGATATTCAACATCGAAAACCTCAACTTCGAAGAATTTCCTCAAAAACTCAAAATTTCGAGATTTTCAGCGACATCGCACTATTTTGGCCATAACTTTTGACTCAGTGATCCGATTTAAGCGAATCATACCTTGTTGGAAAGCTAACAAAAATATACACATGGATTCCGGAGGTTTACCCCAGAACCCCCAACCACGCGCCCTCACTCGCCGTTCTTGAGGGAGATGTCGTCTGCATTCCGAGAAACTTTGTAAATCATCTATGTCAAGGTCAAAACTTAGGCAAATCCATTCAAATTCTTCCAAAGTCAAACCTAAGGTCAAAGCTTTTCTAAATAAACTACACCATAGATGTTCGGAAAGCGTAGATAATTCAATCAACCTCGCGTCAATGGTCACCTTACGACTATCAACAATCAACTACTGAAGCCTCCCCTAACTCATCAACATTGTGTGATCATCAATATGCTGAAATTCTAAACGATGAGCTTAGGGAAACCGTCATTTGTGGTACATGTTCAAATTGTTTCACACACATGGCGAGTATGACAAGCTGTGAGCAATCAAACCTTTCACATTCTGAGGGGAAGTTTCAGTTTTCTCCTCCTGGCGCTTCACACCGACAAAGCAAGGAATCTCTTAAATGATGCAACATTTTAGAGGGAGTGTTCAATGTTATCCTCCCCGGTGTCTAACAATGACAAAGCATATCGAGTGCTCCAGTTGAGGGGGAGTACAGAGAGAAAATAAAAAAGAAACAAAAATTAATGAGAGAACATGTCCTTATGGCTTAGTAAACCCAACTAAGTCTACCTAAGGGACAAAGCCGAGAGTAAGTGAGTGAGCGAGTGAGTGAGTGAACATTATGAGCGTTAGGAAGTAGAAGGCTCGAGTGAGCAAGAAAATAATAATCAATGATAAGTCTGCTACCTCAACTACCTGCTATCAATTGAACATTTACTCCTAGCCACTCAAATACTCTGGACAATCCCCATAGGTTCAGGACTGATTTAATCAGATCCCGGGCAGAACTCACTGCATCTTGTCCAACGGTGCATGTTTAACCCTACCTAAGACCACTCAATTGTCTCCCAACAGACAGGTGTTTAATCATATTTCACGGGGAACCTCTTCTCTCATTACTGTCTCCTTCCGAGACAAGTGATAATGACTGCAATGGCCTCAGCACCATGCCACTGAACATTCATTGATCACGTCGTGTCTAGTTACCTCACTCCCAAATGTTTTGAATTTTCTAGGACATACGCACTTTTAGATTTAGTTGAAGGTCTTCATGACTCGCGAGAACTTCCATAGGGCTCATCTATTACAGATGTAGACCAATGATGGGAAGGAAGTCTTGTTGTTGCAACATAAGAATCACCAACATTCTCAGGTCATTGCTTTAGAGTTTATCTCTATAGTGATTATAATGAGTGTCTACATGACCTCGGGGGGCTACAAGTTTCTCAATGCTGATCTTTATGATCATGCAATAACAACCAAAGTGACATCTATTGAGATGCTTCACAATGTCTGGTTGGAAGTCCTGTTAGAACTTTAATGTTTATATCATTCTATACAGGCCATACATCGGTGTTTGCATTGATGTTGTGTTAACGGAACACCCCAGTGTATCCGGTTTTATCATTTTGACTTTCTGTTTGTTTTTCTGTTTTGTTTCCCAGAATAAAAGAATAAAGGCATGATGCCCCGATTCACCGGATCGTCATGAGGGGGAGACTGGTCCACATACTGTTAACTCTCAACAAATCATTCTCGGACACTTCTCTCCTCCAACACTTTCTCTACTATCTCTATCAAAAGCTTTGAATCAAATGGACAACTACGCTCACAAGTAAACCATCATTTTCCGTTGTGCCACCGGCAAGGTCTCCTCAAACGCATTCACTTCAAAAAGTAAAAAAGACTACATTGTGGAGGAGACAGATGTCAGATACTCTAAACGCGCCTGAAAATTATCAGAACATTCATTCTAAAGGCGCCTTCGACCTTCATTCCAGCTGATCAAGAGCTACTTCTGGAAGGCAAAGATTATAAGCAAAAGATTCCTCAACTCCCGGCATCAAAGATCAAATTGAAAAGAAGACATCAAAGGGGAGATTGCAAGGATTTCTTCATAAAGCCTTCTCAAGAAGTCAAGTTCAAAGACAAAGGAAACTGAATAACAACAAAGACAAAGATATCTGCGCTGCAATGCTGATTCAATATGATTGAACACCAAGGGGGAGATTGTTGGGAATATTTTATGGTGTCCAATCTAATTAAATATCTTTGTATTTGTGTGATTATTAATTAAATGTGTAATATGGGCCATAATTGTATACCAGCTCATTAGCTTCTTTGTAATTCATAAGCTAGCCAACTTTTCCTATAGAAGGGGGATAACTTATGGAAGACCTAAGGCTTTAGAGAATAGAGGCGAGATGGAGAGATTAGGTTTACGCTGCTCTCTCTGGGGAGAGCAGCGGCCTGTACACGATATACCAGATTCGTCGATTATTTTGATACCTTTCTATATGTTTCTTTTTCACTTCTTATGATTGTTTGATTGTTAAAAACTGGGTCTATCAGTGTGTGATCCTCGACCTCTACTAAGATCCACCATTGATTCGTTGTAAAAATACGTTGTTTTCACTTGAATTGAAATTTTAACGTAAAATACCATTTATTTAAATCTACTCTGTTGGTCTAATATGACATATCAGAATATTTAAATTTCGAGTGGTCGTGTGAACTAATCTTGTGTAATTGGGTAAAACCTAATATTGTTTGTGTGTTATTAGTATTAAACATCAATTTAGTCTGGTATGATTTGATATAACCTCTTTAAATGAGGTATATCTCTCTTCCTAATGAAATCTTATTTAGTGCAACTCGGTCTCAATATGTTTTATGTTACCTGGTTATCAACATCGGAACATCTAATATTCCCTCTCTCCTATTGGATTTTGTCAATTTTTTTGTCCATGATTTTTTACCAGTTTCCATTTAAGATAATGAATTTGTGATTTGTTTAGGGAAATTATCATTGAGCTCCCTCAAGGTTTAATGTATTATCACCTAGACCCCTGCACTATTAAAAATACACGCTTACCCCCCTCCCAATTCTTTAATGAAAGTTTAATAGCTCCTAATTACGTTTAGGAAAAGTATAAATTTAGTTTTATAAATTTACTCACTTGCAGATTTAATCTGATAATTAATAAATTTACCTGTGTTAAAAATCTTTCCACCAGAAAGTACTTTTTTTTTTTGCAGAAACACACACTTTCCGATGAAGGACTTCGGGAGACTATTGTTACCTATTGTAAATTTTTATGAGAAATGCTTACTTTTGTGTTTCATATTAGGGGAAGACAAGACCCGATCTTGGGAATGGCCGATTTTTGAATTAAGATTTTAGGTTTAGATTGAGACGAGACCAGTGAAAAAGAGACCTCAGGCCTCACTTTTTGTGACCAGGATTGGAGCCCATGTTTTGACCCCGTCCATTTTTTTTTTCATTAAAACCATTGAGAACATTTTAAAATGGGTTATAGTCCATTTAAAAGTTGAAAAATATGTAGTCAAAAATATTTAAATTATTGGGAGCGAACCTAGACCAATTAGGGGATTGTAACCAAAGATAAGGTCATGGCATGCCCTAATTATTTAGCACTAACTAGTTTGAGTGTGGAACCCGTCCTAAACTAAAATGTCTTTACCATTATTTTACATGTAAACATGTTCATATTTGGTCAAATATTAAATTACAAGTTATTATTATACCTATAATGATCTCATTTTCGGTGATAACAAAGAGCGTCTAAAGTGCAAATTGGGAATTTTCTTGCATTCAATTTTTAATGGTAAAATTGAATAGTAAACTTCACGTTTGAGTTGGTTTGGTTCATTTAAGTTGATTTGTTTCAATTTTTGTCAAATTTAGCATATTTTGATCATTTTCAATTGAGTAAATTTACTCACTTTACAAATTAAAAGGCCATTCAAAAAAATCAAACGCATAAAATGAACTATCCAGAGTGAGGTTAGTTTTGATCATTTTTTTATCTAGTTCGTCTTTCGATAGAAAGGTCTTTAGTTTGGACAAATTTATTAGTTACCCGAACAGATTTGTTATTGAATAAAATAACAATATTAAAAGCGGAGACAAAGAAAAATTATGAAATTATATCTATAATTTTCTCTAAATGTAGATTAAAAGTTATTTAACCATCCTCAAGGGATAGAGAGGGGGATAAGAGTATATTTTTGATAGTATAGGGGTGTGATTGATAATGCATCAAACCTCAAGGAGGTCAAGGATAAATTCCCATTTGTTTATTTTTCTTTACTCGGCACATATTTCGATTATAAAATTTTACTTTTCTGATTTCATACAAGTTGACAAATTTTGACGGTAAGAAAGTAATACTCCACTGTCCCACTTTCTATGTCTTATTTTTTTTGGATTGTCCCAAAATAAGTGTCATGTTTCTTTATTATAAAATTTTACTTTTCTGACTTAGTACAAGTCGACAAATTTTGACTGTAAGAAAGTAATACTCCCCTGTCACGTTTCCTTATTTAGAAAAATATAGATGATTTACAACATTTCACATCATTATATTCAAATTTTAACTATAATTTTACCCTTCAATCGTTTTACTAATAATTGTGCCAAACCAAACAAGATACATAATGAGCCCGTTTGATAACCGTGTTTTTCTCCTTATCAAACAACCTTTTCACCAAACACGTAACTTTTGATTTCGAACTCTGAATTGCATAATAAATAGTACTTCATAATAAGAAAAAATAATGTTAAAATTACTTTTCTGATTCTATTAACTGAAGTTATTGTAGATATTTCATTTTAGCTATTTTTTCATATAATTTTTTTTTCTATTTTATTTACAACATATATTTTAAATATAAATTTTTAATAAATCAATAAATCAATCGATTCAATCAAAATATAAAATGAACTTCATAAATTTAAAATGAACCTGTACAAAAAACAATAAGAGGGAGAGAGTATTAGTGATATATATTCCGTACTCAAGTGATAGGTTCATAGCTAGAGTCCTCATAGGACTCACCTAGACGTTAGGGGGCGGACTAGCAGCAACCCAAGCGTATTAGTGCGAACCACTCACATTTCTTCTTTAACTCTCACTTGGGATGGGAAATCTCAGAACTTCCCTGAAAATGAAGGACAAGGTGCTGTACTTGCCGACGGTGTCTCTGAAGCATTTGCTGGCGGTCTCGGTTGCGCTGAATGTGGCGTTGGTTCTTAAACTCCTGCACGACGGAGATGAAATGGTTGGGTGGTTCGCGGCTGAGGAGACGGCGACGGGAGCTTCAGCAAGTTCACACCCGGAGATAACCTCTGCCGTTGCTTCTTCTAGTTTGCAGCAAGAATACATCAATCTTGACCAGTAAGTCCTTTCTCTTTTGTTTTATGGATTCAAAGATGGCCAGAAAATTCTCCATTTTAATTCTTTTTCTGCCTCCATTCGTTCTATTTCGCTTGCAGATGTTTATCAGCCTCCTCTGCTCATTTTATTTCTGCATTTTCTCACAATCTCAAAGTTTAAAATTTCATTATATATTTTACTGTTTATAAATATTTATACATACATATATACATCAGATTTTTTTTTGTATCTCATCGTTTTCATTTTACCTCTCTCAATTTATTCTCATGTTTCAAAGAATATTGTTTCTCATTATACTCCAAAATTCGTGTTTTGATTCTTAGACAAAGGGTTGTTCCATAAACAAATTTCCACTTTTTTTGTGAAACAGCGTTTTCAGTTTTACAAAGATTTTTTCCTATCTACAAATGTCAATATCACCTTTCTTATTTTGTACTTTGATTTGATATTAAGTAGGGTATTTGAAAATCAAATTAAAGCTCAATCTTCCTTAAATATATGAGTAACTAAGTCAAATGTATTAGGGAAAACAATTAAGACGTTTTCTATTCTCTGTCCCAAATGTACCCACATTTGAGTTGGGGTGGCAGCGGGCCATATTTATATCGGATGAAGGCTCATCCGTCGTCTACTCGTTAATTTTTCATACTCCACCCACCCATTCATCATTCATTAAAATTTACATCTACATCCAACTCATCCATCATAAACAGGTTATCGGGTGGATCGAGTGAGTAACGAGTGAATACAAAAGGTCAAACTTGTAATACAAAATAAATAAATTATAAAGAGAAATCATGACAAAAATTAAGAACTCATTGAAAATTAACTACAAAAACTTCAGCAATGAAGTCTATTACAATCATTAATTCACCACCGATGATAAATAAAGAACTAATTGTCAAACAAAATAGATAAAAAAAAATCTTCAAGTTGTCAATTCTACATTTCTTCATCAACACAAAACTATTTGTGAAGTTCAACGGGATTAGGGTTGGGCATCTATTTTAGTCGCTACAATGCTACTCCGTAGTTACGTAGTATCTGTTAATATATTAATATTAATTATTATTATTATTATTAATATATTATTAAATAGATATTATAATATATGTATATATATTTACATGCGGGTCAGCGGGTGCGGGTGGATGGAGCGGGTGATGGGTTGGATGAGTGTTCATCCACACCCGATCCAACCCGTCTTTCAATCCACCTGTCATCCATTTTTCATCCATATTTCTTCGGGTTTTCGTTCATATTTTTGGTTCGAATTGACCGGGTATCCGCGGGCGCGGGTGATATTGCCGGTCCTACATTTGAGTTTGACGCAAGTTTTAAAAATATTACAAACTTCCCTTATAACTAAGACAAGGTTATATACATGTGACATAATAAAGTACTACCTCCGTCCCTTAATCAATGTGCTAGATTGATTTCACAAATATTAAGGAAACAAATTTACTGAGAGCTAAATTTTACTCGCACGCTGTTTTGACACTGCTTGACATTGTGTTTTGCACTGTTTGATACTACCTCCGTCCAACTAATATTTGGACGGAAGAGAGTTGATACGGTTATTAAGAAAAGTATATTTGTGTGGTTGATATTAATTGATAAAGTAAGCATAAAGTGAGAATGATTTAGAGGCATACAAACTTTACCAAATTTGATATACGATAATTTTAGTGATATTTCCCGAAAAAATAAAAAATACAATAATAGCGGGACAGAAGGAGTATATGTTTGTTTACCAAATAAGGAAGTGAGACTTTAATTTAGAGAACGAGGGAGTACAAAATACGTGATTAAAATTTGTGTAGGGAAGATGATTAAGTTTTTTGATAAATAAAGAAGGAAAGTTGACTAAGTTATAAAGAGAAAAATTTAATGAGTTGTTTGTTTTTTGTAATTGAGACTTTGAAAGCGAAATAAGTAGTAGTACTCGTTAAGCCCGTATGTTCCGCTAAAGAGCAAAAAAATGAAATGATGAATAAATATTAGTGCCCCTATTAAGTTTGGAAGTTGGTAGATTATATGGTATTTTTAAGGTATCATACCTTTGTCTACCAATCAGAATGTTGTATTTGAATTATTTAAATCTAAATTCAAAATGATAATGATTTGAACCAATCAAGTGAGTGGTAAGTACGGTATCCCATTTTTTAACTGAGTACCGAAGTTGTCACCTTGAAAGTTTTCATGAGACAAGCCAATAAGAAAATGGGACAAACAAAGTATACCATTAAAATATTCCAAGAGTAAGATGTTGTAAGAGTCACGTAGTGGAGTATCAATTGTCTAACACCCAAATTAACTTATTCTCGTGAAATTATTAAGTTCTGAATGAAGTTGCTGTATTGGTTGATTCTACTGATTTATGAAAAAATTATATTTAAAATATTTTTATTAATAAATAAAATAAAAAATTATATGGAAAATAGCTAAAATGATTCCCAACAATAAGTTCAGCCAATATACTAGTATTACACAATAAATTCAATATTACTTTTTCTTATTATTACACATTCAACATGAGTAATCAAAACTTACTTGTTTGGTGAAAAATGGAGCGCGAGAAAAGGACCACCAAATTTCAAATAGACTCTAAATTACAAATCATAAAAGCTAAAATTAAAGGTGGGATTACTACCTACTATAATATAAGCATTTAAATAAAGACCTACGCTTGACTTTGGGGACATGCAAGAGAGGCTTTTCAAGATTGCAATCTTTCTCATGTTTTTTTTAGTTTAATATAATTGACCAAAATGATTTACTAATACGTATTTTCTTTGCTCATGAGTGAGTGGGTCTAATTGTAGAAGAAATGGGGGTGACAAGATAAGTGGTCTGCCACCGATAAGGATGGCTATTTTTTCTTCTTTTTTTCATTTTTTCTTTTGGAGCTTAGGTGTGGTGGGGCTGTGAGGGTACTCTAAACCAAGTTACAGTTTGTCACTTGATAAGAGTGTTCTAAGTTCTAACAGGCGGGTCCTAGGTGCCTAAGCGTGAGGCGCCGGAGAAAAGCTTCTCATAGGGCCTAGCTTAGTACCGGTGGTTAGGTCCCGGGTTCGAATCCCGGCAACTGCGCCGAGAGGTTACTATGCTAAAAATGTATAAGGTCTCTGCAAGTTTGAACCCCACTCTATATATATCAGATTGGGATTATAGTCCAATTTACACTTCTCAACATACCGTCCGGTCGGGGTTGGGGGCCCTCAAGGATGGGGTGTCATCCTTTTTTACGGAGAAAAGCTTTGCATTGTAGAAAGGCCTGAAAAAGATGGTCAACTCAAGAGTCATGAAAAGGCGTAAGCCTAGGCGTGCTTAGACATGAAAATGCGGAAGTTTTTTAGATACAATGTTTTTTGCAAGAAAAAGGTGATTAAATTTAAAAAAAATACTTTTATAAACATGTTATATATGAAATCTAATATTGAGTAGTAAAAAATAACAATATATCATTTTGTATTTACACTTTTTATACATTTAAAAATTATATATATTGATCAAAATAAAAATTAGGCTCAATCTTGTATAATATATTTTGGAAATTTATTTTCTTCTTCATATATCAATCAAAATAAAAATTAGGCTCAATCTTGTATAATATATTTTGGACATTTATTTTCTTCTTCATATATCAGTCTATCAATATTATATAGACTTTGCCAAATTTGGTATGAGAGAATCTTAGTGGGACGTTTCATTAACAATGGGACAAAAGGGAGTGACACGCAAATCAATAAAAAGTGGTTTATGTGGTTGATATTGAATTGATAATGTAAGAATAAAGTAAGAATGATTTAGAGCCACGTAAACTTTGCCAAATTTGGTATGAGACAATCTTAGTGGGACGGGTCGTCGGTCGATAAGGTAAAACGGGACAATCATAGCAGGACAGAAGTAGTAGTAATTTTCAATAGAAATCTAATACACCTATTCACGCCTAGGTTTCGCCTATTCCCGTCTACGCTTCAAAGGCTTGAGGCTTGACCTCGATGCTTTGACACCCCTCACGTTTTTTAGAACACTGCTTGATAAAGTTGAGTGACAATGAATTTAGTTTTGTAATAGAAAAAACTCACTTTCCTTAAAACAATGAATTAGTGATTACATATCTAAATCACATAATGAAACAATGAATTGTTTCTCCTCTGCACAAACCTAGATCACATAATTTTTACTATTTTAATTTCAACCAAACATCAACTTAATAAAATTAAGTGGGATCGAGTTAGTACGTGATACTCCGTACTAATAAAAAAGGTGTTATAAATTTTAAATGATTTTTTCCCATTTTTATTGTGCTCATATATCTAATATAGTATACTCCTTGGAGTATGTTTTTTGTTAAACGCCAACTTTGAAATGAGTTTTGGCTATGTAACTTATTTTTGAAAGTGTTATAATGATGTCATCACTTGACAAAAAATTCTAAATGGTTGTAAATTATTTTGGAGCCCCTATCCTTTTCTAATCAAGTACTAGTACTTGGTATTTATTATTTTTCGTGATTTCAAATTTCCTCACAAAAGATGACATCAAATTGAAAAATGTTAAAGGTACTCCAAAGTTGTACGGTTGTATCCCATTTTTACCCCACCCCTAATTGTGTGATCATAAATGGGGCAACTCATTTAAGTGGTGCTCCACTTAAATGAGTTGCCTCATTTATGGCCACACAATTAGGGGTGAAGTAAAAATGAGGTACAACTTTGGGGTACCTTTAACATAGCTCCATCAAATTTGATCGGACTTCTTTCGATTCTTGATGGTGTATTAAACACTCGCCACATCTATTGTGATTTGAAATTTTGTTCTGATTAATCTAAATGAACTAGTGTACTTATTGCTGAACCAATCAAAATTGAACCAACAAACAAAACGTGATTAATCCAATCGCTTGATCAAAGATCGAATGATGTTCAGTCTAACTCGAGTCTCGTTAAACAGTCGAGCCATAAATGAGCCTATTAATTTTAGACTCACTAACC